CCCTCTGTCTCTCACACCACCATGCCTCTTCCCACCGCCCTTAATGCCGCTCTCGTCCCCACTCCGCTCTCGCGCGGCATGCCCACGCCGCCTCTCACCATCCCCCTTCTTGCCCCTTCTACCTGTACCTCATCTCTCCTGCATCGCCTCATGCTGCCCGCATCTCTCCCCCCCTCCCCCCCCTCTTCCGCCTCCCCCCCTCAGGGCTGGTGCACGAGATGCTGACGACGGGTCCGCACCCCGAGCTGAACGCGAAACTCGCGCCGCTCACCAAGTGGCTGTTCCTCGAGCCCAACCCCATTGGGCTCAGCACGGCGCTCTGCCAGCTCGGCCTCGTGCGGCCCGTGTTCCGCCTGCCGTACACGCCCTACAACGAGGCGCGGCGACGCGAGTTCGTGGAAATTGTGAACAACATCGGGCTGGAGCACTTCATTGGCGCGAAGGAAGTGCGCGCGCTGAAGGATGACGATTTCCACCTCATCACTAGCGCTTCTACTAGCTGTCTCGCCACACGTCACCGGCTGCTACAGTGTTCTTTCTCTTAGAAAGTTGAAAATACGTCCATCAACCTCAGATGTACTACTGCAACGCAGAGGGTTAGAAAGGCCGGGTTGCTCCTGGTATCTATATTATTCAGGTTAGCATTGTGTCTTGGCAGTGAGGCCTTTCATTCAGAGCTTATATACGTGGATGTCTTTTGCTCTTTATGTTGCCTTTTTGTACCAATGAAAGTCTCTTGATAGGCTAGTACAAAACGAATTAAGTACATCTTTCGTGTTCTCATATCCAGGTGTCCTCGCATGGCCGTGTCGTGTGTTACCGCACCGAACTTGGATGGAGTGTGCCATGTGCTTGGTGTGGTGGGGTGTGGCTTGTTACACTATGCCAGGCACTTGCTCCTATGGCCATCACATCCATTACCACTCTCAAACCTCTATCATTGTCCCCGGACGATCATAGATGCTGTCAGTACAATCCACTACAGTAGGTCAACGGAATAAAGTCACTCTCTCAACCGTTCATCCTTACCACATCCATTTACAACTATACCCTTCCCGTTATATTCCCTCCGCGTAACCCTGCCTACCAATCTATGTTATGACCCGTTGTTTACAGATACACCTCAACCATCAGGGGTTCTTTGATTGTTCATGCACCCAAACCCAAGGGTTTGGTTAGCTCCATCAACGTTACTGGCATTGCGATAGATACGGTACTGACAAACCGCGGAAACACACTGCCGATGATATATGATTTGGAATATATATACATATAACAATATAGACGTATACCTAATCGTGCGTAATCATTTTTTTTCCATTTTAACCACTTCGGGGATGACGCGGAAGCCAAAACATATTTTAGAACAAAAGCGCAATGTTTAAGTAAACACTGTATCTGTTCACCCTTCCATCCACGCTCAATGATCGACACAACTGGTGCATTCTGCAGTGAGTATCTCCGCTGCTCATTTCCAGCTTCCCACCTCGTTCTCACTCCTCCCTCCACTCTCCCGCCTCTTACGGCGTTGCATTGCACGCTGCGGCACTCCCCGTCCCTTCTCGCACGCTTCTCTTCCCGATCCAGCCTTTAAAGGCTAATCAGGACCATCTTATCACGAACGCGTGGATCATATATATTCCCAGCCCGCGTTAACCCTAATTTCTCTTCCTACTAATTCTCCGTCCAGCCATGGCGTCCACCGACCTAACATCGAAGATAGCTCCGTTTCTGGATCGCCATTTGGTGTTCCCGCTGCTGGAGTTCCTTCAGGACCGTCAGATCTACCCCGAGGAGGAGATTTTGACGGCTAAGATCGAGCTGCTGGGGCGCACGAACATGGTGGACTACGCCATGGACATCCACAAGTCGCTGCACCACTCAGAGGAGGTTCCGCCCGGTGAGTGTCACTCGCGCGTTTTTATAATGAGGAATTTCTGCCCGGCGTTTCGCGGCTTATTTCGGGGAATAAATTCCGCACCACTCCGACCAGGTCCTGCCCTGTGCGTGGCGCCTTGCAACGGGGAATTCCGTAGGCAGATGGTCGCAGAGGGCTGCTTGAAGCGGAACGAGATGATCGAGGGGTCGCGGCACGTTGCGTCGGGGAGGGGAGGTTACAAGGGCTGACGAAACAGCCGAGTCCCGAGGGTCTTGCATGGCGTTATGGTCTTACACGTGTCGTTGTAGCTCTCCCCGTGGCATCGCGTGACGAATAAGGTGTCTGGTTTAGCCATGGCGAGGCGCGAGTCCACTGGTGGACGCAAAGCCCTCGTTAAAACCCTTCCCGCGCCGTTCCGTCGTGCGCTACTGCTGCGCGTAAGCTCTTATTCTCGCCGCCCTTTTGCTCCCGCCCGCCCTCCCTCCCGCTCCCCATTCCTCCCCTTACTTTCCCCTCCATTTCCCGCCGTCTTGATCGACGCGCGTGCGTCGGGATTTACGTGTTGGTGGCGCTGACAACGCGGCGGCGCGAGCAGCCATGGTGGAGCGGCGCGACGAGGTGGTCAGCCCGCTTATGTCCCCCTCCACCCTCTCCATCCCTTCTTTCCTCTCCCCCGCACCCCCCCTCTTCCTTCCTCCCTCGCTCCCTCCATCTCTCCAACGCGGCGGCGCGAGCAGCCATGGTGGAGCGGCGCGGCGAGGTGGTCAGCCGCCTCAAGACGCTCGAGGAGGCGGCGGCGCCGCTTGTCGCGTTCCTGCAGAACCCTGCGACGGTGCAGGAGCTGCGCTCCGATAAAGCGTACAACCTGCTCATGCTTCAGGAGAAATACCAGGTGAGACCAACAGAGGCTCGTACAGCGCCACGCTGGGACAACTCGACCAGCCGTCGTTGCTTCTCTCTCCGCGTCCCTAGCTCCTTTTCTCGCCGTCCCCCCCTCCCCCGGCGCCTCTCCCCTCCCTCCTTCCGAAGCTTCCGCGCGTCCGTCACTTGTCGCTCGCGCTCCTCCGCCCCCTCTTCCTTCCCCCTTCCTCTCCCCCCTGCGCAGATCGGCGCGGAGGGCGTGGAGGCTCTCTGCTGGTATGCCAAGTTCCAGTTCGAGTGCGGCAGCTACAGCGGCGCCGCCGTCCCAGCCAACCCCCCGGCCCACCTAACCCGCTCTCCCTCCCCCGCACTTCCCCCCAGATCGGCGCGGAGGGCGTGGAGGCGCTGTATTGGTACGCCAAGTTCCAGTTCGAGTGCGGCAACTACAGCGGCGCCGCGGACTTCCTCTACCAGTACCGCCTTCTCTGCTCGTCCCCGCAGCGCGCGCTCTCCGCGTCGTGGGGCAAGCTGGCCGCGGAGCTGCTGATGCAGAACTGGGACGCCGCGGGGGAGGAGCTCGCGCGGGTGAAGGAGATGATTGATTCTCAGGTGCACGCGCGGGGGGGAGAGAGGGAGGGACGGGGGAAGGGGGGTGGGTGGGAGGGCGGGTAGTCGAGTGGGGCAAGCTGGCGGCGGAGCTGCTGATGCAGAACCGGGGTCCCCGCGGGGGAGGAGCTCGCGCGCGTGAATGAGATGATCGACTCGCAGGTGCAACAAGGGGGGTAGGAAGAGGGGAGGATGGGGGAAGAGGGGGAAAATGGCGGGGACGGAAGGAGACAGGAAATGGGTAGAAAGCGAGGTTGGGAGGGAAAAGGGTAACGGGTAGAGTGGGAAAAAATGGAGAGGGGGGATGCCTCATGCTTCATGCCTCATGCCTCATGCTTCATGCCTCATTGCTTCATGCTTCATGCCTCATGCTTCATGCTTCATGCTTCATGCCTCATGCTTCATGCCGCATGCCTCATGCTTCATGCCTCATGCTTCATGCTTCATGCCTCATGCTTCATGCCTTGTGCTTCATGCACCCTCCGTTCCCCCACATATCTAACCACCCCCGCCCCCCCGTGCCTCTCCGCATGCGTTGAGCCCTCTTCCTGATGCTGCACTATGCACCATCCGCCCCCCATGAAGCAACCCCTCCCTCGTTTTTCCATTCCGCCTTCCCCACACGCGTCCCCTGCACACGGCTGCTGCACTGGGCGCTCGTCCTCATGCTGCGCAAGCACACCCTCAATCCTCCCTTTGAACTTCCCCCGTCTCCCCCCACTTTCGCATTTCATGAAACCACATTCACAGACCTTCGCGTCCCCGTTAGCGGTGCTGCAGGAGCGCACGTGGCTGCTGCACTGGGCGCTCTTCGCCATGCTGCACTCGGAGAACGGCCGCTCCAACCTCGTCGACCTCTTTCTCCAGGACAAGTAAGTGCGCTCTGCCCCGCTCACTCCTCTGCCTGCAGGACAAGTAAGTGCGCTCTGCCCCGCTCACTCCTCTGCCTGCAGGACAAGTAAGTGCGCTCTGCCCCGCTCACTCCTCTGCCTGCAGGACAAGTAAGTGCGCTCTGCCCCGCTCACTCCTCTGCCTGCAGGACAAGTGAGCCACGGCTCGCTCACTCCTTCGCTTCGAACCTTTTGAGTCCCGGCCCCCGGTTCCCCGGCCCTCTTACCCCCCGGGTTCCAGGCTTTCTGTCCTCTAGTTTCCCTTCGCTCCCTTCCGCCCTTTCACGCCCATGCACCCACTCACCTCCCTCTCGCCCGCTCGCCTCTCTCTCGGCACCCATCCAAAAAAATGCCTGCTTCCCCCATTACCTCCCTCTCCCAGCCCTTCCAAAAAAGTGCCTTCTTCCCCCCCCATAAGATACCTAAGCGCCATCCAGACGAACGCGCAGCACCTGCTGCTCTATCTGGTGGCGGCCGTGCTCACATGCACGCACTGCCACAGCGCAGTGAAGGAGGTGACTTTTGAGTCGACTCAAAAATGTGCTCACATGCACGCACTGCGTGTAAGTAGACGACTTTTGAGACGGCCGTGCTCAAAAGTCGGCTACCTGGTGGCGGCCGTGCTCACATGCACGCACCGGCACAGCGCAGTGAAGGAGGTGGCGCGAGTGGTGGAGGATGTGGGGGTGGGTGGATTGAGGCCCGCTCCTGTTCCTCACCCTCTCTCTCCTCATTCTTCCCCCATTCTCTCCCTCCTTTCTGTCCCCTTCCCCCTCCCTCCCCCCCTCCCCCCCCCACCCTCCCCCCCTCCTCCTCACCCCCCTATCAGGTATCTGAGCGCAATCCAGGCGAATGCGCAGCACCTGCTGCGCTACCTCGTTGCAGCTGTGCTCACATGCAAGCCCCGTCCCCTTTTCCCCTATGCACCTCGCCCCCCTACCCCCTGCTCCCCCTCTCGCCAGGTATCTGAGCGCCATTCAGACGAACGCGCAGCACCTGCTGCGCTACCTCGTTGCAGCCGTGCTCACATGCAAGCCCCGTCCCCCCTTCCCCCCCCACCCTCCCCCCCTTCCTTCCCCCAACAGGTACCTGAGTGCCATTCAGACGAACGCGCAGCACCTGCTGCGCTATCTGGTGGCGGCCGTGCTCACATGCAAGCGCAGGCGCAGCGCAGTGAAGGAGGTGGCGCGGGTGGTGGAGGCGGAGAGGCATGCCTACAGCGACCCGCTCACGCAATTCCTGCTGGCGCTGGTTGTGGACCTTGATTTCGATGAGGCTCAGAGCCGGCTGAAGGAGTGTGAAGAGGTGAGGGAGGAGTGCAAAGCAGTGAGAGCAGCGCACTGTAGTCAAGGTGGTGGAGGGAGGCGGAGAGGCACGCCTACAGCGACCCGCTCACGCAATTCCTGCTGGCGCTGGTCGTTGATTTGGACTTTGATGAGGCTCAGAGCCGACTCAAGGAGTGCGAAGAGGTGAGGACCGGTTCTTTTGAGACGCCACCTTTTTTTTTTCCTTCCAGATTGCCTTCTTTCCAGTTAATTTCACCCAGGGCTGTCCCTCCCCCCCTCTCCTGTTTCACCCTATTTTCCCATTCCCCTTTTCCCCATCCCCCTTCCCCCCCCCCCCCACCCCCCCCCTACTTCCCCTTCCTCCCCCATTTCCAGCTACTGTCGAATGTTTTCTTTCTGGGCAAGCGCATGGCGGAGGGAGGGCGGGTACGTGGCCCTCAGGTGTGTTTTGAGTCGACTCAAAACACACGCGGGTACGTGGCGCTCCTTCCCCTCACCCTTTCCCGCGCCTTCCTCCTCCTCCCTCATACACACACCTCCCTCCCTCTCCTCCCCCCTGGCTCGGCAGCTACTGTCGAATGATTTCTTTCTGGGCAAGCGCGTGGCGGAAGGCGGGTATGTGGCGGTGCCGCTGAGGGACGAGGTGATTGACAGTGCGCGCCTGCTCATGTTCGAAAACTACTGCAGCATCCACCGCCGTATTGACATCAAGTGAGCCCCTCACTGCTCCTCACCGCACTGCACCTCGCCTCACCTCACTGCACCACACCACACCATATTGCGCCTCAAGCGAGTGCTTGTGAGGGACGAGGTGATTGACAGTGCTCGCCTGCTCATGTTCGAAAACTATTGCAGCATTCACTGCCGTATTGACATCAAGTGAGCCCGTCACCTCTCTGCACCGCACTGCACACACCGCACTGTGCCTCAAGTTAGGCCCTCTGAGGGACGAGGTGATTGACAGTGCGCGCCTGCTCATGTTTGAGAACTACTGCAGCATCCACCGCCGCATCGATATCAAGTGAGCACTGCACTGCTGCACCACTGCAGCATCAAGTTAGCCCATGCGTGTGTGCGCCCTCACCCCACCTCATGGCAACCTACTCCACTGCACCACACCCCTCCTCACTGCACTCCACCTCTCCTCACCGCAGGGTGGTGGCAGAGAAGAAGAGCATGGCAACGGATGCAGCTGAGCTGTGGATGTTCACCCTCTGCATCTCCCTCTGCACCGCACTGCACCCCCCTCCACCTTTGTGTCTTCCTCCCCGTTCAGGGTGGTGGCGGAGAAGCTGAGCATGGCAACGGACGCAGCGGAGAGGTGGATGGCGAATCTGATCCGCACTGCCAAGCTGGATGCTACCATCGATTCGGAGGCCGGCACGCTCGTCATGGCCACTGCTCAACCCAACGTGTACGTTGCTGGGCATGGGTGTGGGGATGTGAATGTGTGCACACACGTACTTGTGACCTGACTCCATGTAAAAACCATGGGCAAATTATTGTGTATGGGTATGGCATTGGCATGAGGATGGGCATGAGCACGGCATGGCACGGCATTTGCATGGAATGGGCGTGGGCATACGTGTGTGCATGGGCATGGCATGGCATGGCATACGTGTGTGCATGGGCATGGCATGGCATGGCATGGCATACGTGTGTGCATGTCGCAACACACCCATCATTCTTTCGCCAACCCTCTGTATTCCTTTCTCCCTTGGGTCCCGCCTTTCCCCTCCCCGCCCCCTTCTCTCCCATCCTCACACCCTTCCCTGCCCCTTCTCTGCAGGTACGAGAACCTAATAGAGCGATCGAGAGGCCTCACCTCTCGCACCTATGCCCTCGCCTCCAACGTCGCAGCTATCGCCCTGCAGCAGTAGCAAGCACCACCACCTGTGCACCAATCAACCAACACACCTTTGTTCTGAGCATCCCAGTTACAAATGGGGCACTTTTTGAGGTGCCTCAATAATAGCAGCAACACCCATCCACCTCGCCAAACATCTCTGTTACAGATGGGGCATTTGAGCTTTCCGCCATCACTTTTTGAATGGGACGATGTGGTTCCACTAGAAGGTCTATGTGTATGTGCACTAGCTTGCACTGTATGTGTTCTAGCTTGTAACTCATGCATAATCTGTAGCGTGGTCTGCTGGTGCTGGTCCATGGTGAGAATGCATTGCCGGATACCTATATTAGATTGTTACTGCACACATTCCTGCCTGTGTACGATAGAAGCATGTAGAGATGTGTACACAACGTTACTGGGTCTCACCAACCCAAATATTGAGAAAGCTTGCTTTCTTTCTTATCAATTGGCATCGTTCTCATTACAAATGGCGTATTACAACATTTGCATCATCGTTCGACATAAGCTAGTGCGGACTAATAACACTAGCTATTATGTACCCTATCCAAGTGGCATTAGCAAGGCGGTTTACACTGGGGTGGGTGGTGGGAATGTTGAGTGAGCCGTTTGAAAATTGAGAAACGTGGGTGGAGGGAAATGAGCTCCAACCCACGGTTTTTGTAGTTGGAGAAGGGCGTTTAGCGCGCTTCGACGATGCCAATTGTGCAGTACAAGCAGCTTCGCTTTCACAATACACAATTTTAAAAAACACTACATGTGTGTATAAAAATTATAATATTGAGAAAGCTTGCTTTCTTTCTTATCAATTGGCATCGTTCTCATTACAAATGGGGTCTCTGAGACATGGGCAGCGGGGGCCTCCGGTTGCGTACGAGTGCCTCTGTGTGTTGCGCCGATGACACCGCATGCGTCGAATCTTGTAGGGTACGGGAGGCTTCGATGAGGGGCTCGACGTATGGCGTAACATACATTTCCTTTGCTGTGTCGCTTCGCCATCTGCCCAGCCGTTTGAAGACTCTGTCTGGCACTCCCGTGTTGGCTGCTACTGTGGCTGCACCTTTTCGGAAAGAATGGGTGCCTAGCTGCAACTCTCCAAGGCCAACCTTTGCGAAGGCTTCCTTGCACCAGTTCCGGATCGTAGTGTATGAAGGTGGCCTAGCCTGGCCCTCGTTGGTTGAACCGTGACCGAAGACACGAATCAATGGTCCCTCTGACCGTGGGCCATAGCCAGCGAGTCGGATGAAGCGTCGGGTGCAGCGCACTGGGCAGCAGGGGTCCGCCGTTGCTGCAATGGGTATCCAAGTGCCGTGACCAGCTTGATCGGTCTTGGAGTGTGGTATGAGAATCCACATGACCTCGTCGTCGAATTGGATGTCTTGCCATTTTATGGCTACTAGGTCAGAGTATCGCAGGAATCCGGAGTACATGAGGATGGGTATCAACCCTTTCTGAAATTGCGCAGGATCGTCGGACTGCAAGTAGCTCGCGGCCATTTCCTGGACTTGTTGGATCGAGACGGGTTCCTTCTGACGAGTAGGGTGTGGGCAGTGTCGCTTTGCATAGTCACGGACTTGGGTGGTGAACGGTCCGGTTGTCGGGCATTTGCTCCCGGTCATGCGATGGGCGAAGCTGACCGCCGAGCAGGTTAGCTGCACTACGGACAGGGTGGCTTTGCGTCGGATTGCGTGTACCAGGTATAGCGCGAGGGTCATGTCGGATGCCGGGAGGAATGGAAGGTTCAGTTTTGTGCAGAAGGCTCGAAACTTGGCCCAGTATGGTTCATATGTCCGGATCGTAGAATCGGCGCGGGACTGCGCGAGCATGTTGATCAGTTGGTCGTGTAACTTTGGGAGCAAATCTGAGCACAAGGTGTATATATTTTGAATTAGTCAAATGCCACTCGCAGTGCAATGATTGGGCTGTGCGGTAGTCCCATGCCCGAAAAAGCAGTTGAATGGGACCCTACGTCTAGGCATTGGCTTCCGTGTGTCAGAGGGATGTGCGCGTGGATGTGTGGTGCCCAAGTGCGTGGGGAGGGTTGCAAGAGTGGCCACCAGCTTGCGCCTGGCCAGTGCGGAACTATCAGTGTGAGTGATGCATGGGTGCGTTGTGCGTGATGGAGGACGGCTGGGACCAGTTGAGGTGGGGGGAAGGCGAAGTTGTTTTCAGGTGTCCACGCGATCGAGAACGCATCAACTGCAATGGCTGCCGGGTGGGGAATCTTTGAACAGAAGCGCGGCAGTTGGGTGTTGCGGGAGTTTGCGAAAAGGTCGATGGAGTGAGGACCCCAACGACGTTCCAAGATCCGGAACCACGGCGTTTTCAGCGCGTAATCGTCGTGGTCGACCATTTTTGAAAGCTCGTCGGCGTGTGTGTTGAGCTCGCGCGGAATCCATTCAATGATCAAGCGCGTGCCGAGCGCCATGCATGTTCGGATGATGCTCTTGCATGCCGTTGTGAGGTTGGGGCTGTGAGAGCCGCCTTTGCGAAGGATGAAGAATACGCCCTGGTTGTCCACCCGCACGAGAACGTGTTTTTGCTTGATCTTGTTCGCGTACGTTTGTAGCGCCCAAAGGACGCCTTCGATCTCCCGTCGCGTGCTGGACGTTCCTCGTAGCGGCTCTGACATGGTTGCGCTAGCTTCTTCGATGCCACCCGGAAATGTGGTCAGAGTGGCGCCCCAACCATGAGAGCTGGCATCCACGTGGATTACCGCGTCGTAGCTGTTCTTGACGTGAAAAGGTGCGCCGTTGAAACGGTCGAACTCCTCGAGCCAAAATTGGAGCTCTTCTGCTGCAGATGGGGGGATAACGACGCTGCTTTTCCATGACGGTGCGTCGTCGATCACTTGTAACATAGCATGGCTGAATGCGCGAGCTGTCGCGCCAAGTGCGACACCCATCGATGCGAGCATGCCAGTGATTCTGGCCACGTGGCGGACCGGGACTGGTCGGCATGCCTTGCTTGCGCTCAGGAGGTTCCGGATGGTTGCATGTAGTGAGGCTCGTCGGTCCGGACCGATGGAGAATCGGCCGGTATCGGTCTCGAGTTCTACGCCCAGGAATCGGAGACGCTGCGATGGTGACAGTTGTGATTTCTTCGCGTTTATCACAAGGCCTGCCTCTTTAAGATCCAATATTACCCGCTGGCAAGTTGCTTGCGCGTCCTCTTTCGACTGGCAGAGAAATAAGATGTCGTCCACGTAAGGTACGACTCGGATGCCTTGTTCTCGCCAACGCCGAGCTAGTTGCTTGATGAGCTGCGTGAAAACGAATGGAGCTGTCGCGAGGCCAAATGGTAGTGAACGGAATGCGTATGTGCGCTTATCAAATTCAAAGCCAAGGAACTTCCAGCACGATGGGTGGATGTCGATGTGGTGGTAACCAGATTTGAGGTCAATGGAGAACATCCAGTCCCCAACGCGCGCAAGGTCGGCGACGCGGCTGAGCCCTTCGTACTTGAACTTGGGGATGATCAAGTTGGCGTTGACTTTCCTCAGATCAAGAATGAGCCTGCATTTGTCTTTTTGCTCGACCACGTTGAGTGGACTTATGCATGTAAGCTCCGTTGCGGCCATCGGAATTGCCGCTCCCGTCTCTATGAGTTCTTGGATGGCGGTACGTGTGAACGTGGCATGCGTGTTTGCCCCGACATGATTGCGATCGTGGAAATGTTGCGGTGGGCCGTGGCTCCATGGCAACCAGTAACCCTTGGCGATGACGGAGAGGACAAGGCTGCTGGGGCACCATGAGCTCCACCACGCAAATGTCGCGCGAAGACGACCGCGCATGTGTGTAATAGTTCTGTCTGTAACGGCAAATTCGTACGGATCGTCGTGGCATGCCGCCTCGCATCGTCGTGCTCCTGTACATTTGAGGCCAAGTGGTATAAGCTTTGAGTATTCCACGTTAAAGCATGCGTGTGCATGTACTTGTACGGGCAACCATTGATCGAAGGTGTGAAGAGAATGAACAATTGAATGAAATGTCAACGAATGTGTCGGGAATGTTAACGCATGTCAACGCATGTCTCTTCTTCTCCTCGTTTCCCCTTTTTTTTTTTTTTTTTTTCTTGCCCCGTCGTCCACTTGGTAGGACATGGTTGTGCCTGCCCTTAGTGCGTAGGGGCTGATGCCTAGGGCCATGGACACCGTTGTCCATTGTGCTTTCTCTCATTCTCTCTTTCTCTCTCTCTCTCTCTCTCTCTCTCTCTCTCTCCCTCTCTCTCTCTCTCTCTCTCTCTCTCTTTCTCTCTCTCTCTCTCTTTCTCTCTCTCTCTCTCTCTCCCTCTCTCTCTCTCTCTCTCTCTCTCTCTCTCTCTCTCTCTCTCTCTCTCTCTCTCTCTCTCTCTCTCTCTCTGCTCCTCCTCTTGATTTTCATAGTCTCTTTGCCAAAACCATAGGCCTTTAGGAAGGTAGTTTTTATTAAATCAACCAACACACATAGCAATGCTTTCCTAGCATGCCACCAAGTGGCCAACATATGGGACCGAGGGGTTGTTGTTCCCCTTCCCTATCCTAGGCCCAAGCCTATCCCACCCTTTACTAGGGCTGGCCTCTTGCCATCGCAAACCCCTAGGGTTGCCCACGGTTTTCGCACTCAAGAGTGCACCGTGCCTAGCGCCCAAGCGCCTAGTCTCATGGCCCGCTCCTACACCACCGGAGCGGGTCCCTGGCCTCCATGCCCGTTCCGAGGGCAGGCACTTGCCACGTGGCCCGGCTGGCCGCAGCGGAAGCATGAGCCCCGGAACCCACGGCAATTGGCCGTGGGCGGGGGGCCTCGCTTGGGTAAGAACGGCATCGGCCCGTTGTTTCCACCGCGGTTGACACGAGCGTATCCGCTTGCCGCACGGTCCATCGCCGCCATGTCCGCGACCGCCTGCTTGAAGGGTCGAGAAGTCAGCAGGCTCTTCTGCTGGTACAGCTTAAAGCGCTTCGCCGTGCGAAAGTCGGAGGCGTCCTCCACTTGAAGCACCTCGAAACGCCCCGCGATGAGGTTGAGAGCGTGTGAGATGAGTTCGAGTCCGCCCGCCGGATCACCGCGCTGCGCCTTGTATTCGGCGTGCAGCAGGTACGCCCGCAGGTCCTCCAGTAGCTCCGCTTGCTCTCGCACGGAGTCGTTGACGAAGGTTGCCGCCGAGAAGGTAAGATTAGAAGAAGGGAGGGGGGGAAGGTTTTCCGTGCCAATAAAATTAACATTGTTGACTGGAGCCTCACCGGCTTCATCTTCAGAGTCGTCGGTGTCGTTGTCGACCGCTGGAGCAGGGGGAGCGGCAGTCGCTGCGTCGTTGTCATGCCGGTTCGTCCGTGCTCCCCGTGTGCCTTTCTCCTTTTTTGCAGTTTCTTTTTTAGCCGACGCAGATGCGGCGGGTAGTGCAGTTTCCGCGGCTGTAACGCTGACGGGTTGCTGCTGTAGAAGGGACAGCAGCGCGTTGACCTGGTCCGGGGTCAACGCCTGCGTCAGCGCAGGGGCGGCGGTCGCGTCAGACGAGGAGACTGCAGTCCGCCTCCTCTGACGCTGACGCGACGGTCTAGCAGCGGGTGCTGGCGTGTGCTCGGCGTCAGTCGCGTGTGCCGCGCCAGTCCCCGTCGCCACTTGCGCCACAGGTGCCACTGGCGCCACAGGCGCCACTGGCGCCACAAGGACCGAAGGGTGCTGCTGGGTTTCGGCGTTTTTGTGGACCTCGAGCCCGCCCAGCAGCACGTCCACTGCAGTCGGGGCGGAAGGTCCGTCTTCTGCCCGACGCTTGTTACGGCGTTCGCCCGCAGAATCGCGGGCGTTACGGTCGGAGTCGGAAGCGGGGGTTGGCGAGTTCCCGTTGTTAAGTGTCGGCGTAGGTGCCATCGTTGAGCGATTGAAGTTGAAAATGTCGCTGAGTAAAGTAGAGGGTGACTCGCCTCTAGGAAGCGATTTAATCCTAGCCAACTTGGAGGGAAAAACTACTCGAGCGGAAAATGTTGAGTGAGCCGTTTGAAAATTGAGAAACGTGGGTGGAGGGAAATGAGCTCCAACCCACGGTTTTTGTAGTTGGAGAAGGGCGTTTAGCGCGCTTCGACGATGCCAATTGTGCAGTACAAGCAGCTTCGCTTTCACAATACTCAATTTAAAAAAACACTACATGTGTGTTTAAAAATTATAATATCAGAGCATCTTTTCTGTGGAGTGCACTATTGCAGATTCAGTGTCAAAGAGATGGTTTATAGGTACAGGGAATATATTCTTTATCATATTGCGATGAAAGCAAGCAGCATGAGATACACAACTAGCAAGGCCATGCAAAAGAATTCAGTCAAGAAATATAATACTGGTTCCACCCTTCCTGTTCCTGCCCACTACACCTTCGTGTTGTCAGACTCACAATGCTCCATCTCCCACCCCTTTTCCCCCAACCTCCAAATCACAAGCCCACCACCACTCATCCCCTACCTGCATCAGTCCATTACACAGCTACAGCAGCACTTTAAGCCTCCGGCTTGATCTTTTCGAGAATCTCCAGCGCGCACTTGGGAATGCGGGTCCCCGGGCCAAAGATAGCCCCCACGCCCTTGTCAAACAGGAACTGGTAGTCATCCGGGGGAATCACTCCCCCCGCAATCACCAGCACGCGCTCCATCCCCTGCGCCTTCAACTCGTCCAGCAGCTGAGGCACCAGCGTCTTGTGACCAGCAGCCTGCGAGCTCACACCCACCACGTGCACGTCAGCTTCCATGGCATGCCGTGCGACCTCTGCTGGCGTCTGGAAGAGCGGGCCGATGTCGATGTCGAATCCCAGGTCTGCCAGGCCCGTGGCCACCACCTTGGCGCCGCGGTCGTGCCCGTCTTGCCCCATCTTGGCGATGAGCACACGCGGGCGCCGCCCGGTGCTCTTCTCGAAGGCTTCTACGGCTGCCTTCACTGCTGCTAGCTCCTCGGTCTCCTGGCCGCCAGTTGCACGCCCGTACTCGCCCCTGTGAAGGGGTAGACCGTGGGGAGTAGGAGCAGAAGGAAGTAAGCGTGTGAGACCAAGTGAGCCAGTTGGGCAAGAGGCGTGGGGGAGGAGTGGGGTGGAGGCGAGGGAGAGGTGTGAGCAGCAAGCAGAGAGCAACACAGGCAGCAATGGTGCAAGCTCACGAAGGTCACAGCCCATGCGGTACGCACCAGTATGCGCCGGGTGGAGATGGTGAAATCAGCCACATGGCGGCCCCACTCAGCCTCGAGAGCATCACTGATCTCCCCCATTGTGCACCGCACTCGCAGTGTGGGTGATGAGAACTAAGCACAGTGCAATGCAGCACGCACCTGTAGGCGCCAGTAGAGATGGTGGAGTCGGCAACGTGGCGGCCCCACTCTGCCTCGAGCGCGTCACTGATCTCCCCCAGGGTGCACCGCACTCGCGCCGCCTCCACTGCGAGGGTCAGCAAGTTGCATCCCTCGCCGCGCTCCGTGCTCTTTGCCGCTGCTGTTAGCGCTGCCAGTGCTGCCTTCACTCTGGTAGGGAAAGGGTGAGTGCAGGCGTGGGGGTGCGTGTGGCGGATGGGGAATGGCATGGAGACATGGAGAGAGGAAAGAGGGCCATAAATGTGTGTGTTGGTGAGATGGGGAGTGGCAGTGGGAGTGTGCAGACGGAGAGAGCAAGAGCGCGCGAGAGAGAGAGAGAGAGAGAGAGAGAGAGAGAGAGAGAGAGAGAGAGAGAGAGAGAGAGAGAGAGAGAGATAGAGAGAGAGAGAGAGAGAGAGAGAGAGAGAGAGAGAGAGAGAGAGAGAGAGAGAGAGAGATAGAGAGAGAGAGAGAGATTGAAGGCCAGATCACCCATGGGAGGGAGATAGAGAGCGAGAGAGAGGGGTAAGCAGAGAGAGGGAAGATAGAAGCACAAAGGCAGGAGGGAGGTAGGGTTGGAGGGAGGGGGATTTGCTGTACTTTTCATTGTCTCGGGAGGCCCTGAGCTCCCCCAGGCGTTTGACTTGGCTCTTGAGCACAGCAGCGTTGTCAATGTGCCTCAGCTCCACTCCCTCCTCCTCCTTGAGGCGATACTTGTTCACCCCCACCACCACGTCCAGCCCGCTGTCCACTCGCGCCTGATAGGGGAGAGCAGCAGGGAAAAGGGGAGAAGGGGAGGGGGTGAGGTGACTTGAAAGGTTGTAGATGTGCCAGGCCTCCACTCCACGCTCCTCCTCCTCCTCCTTGAGGCGATACTTGTTCACCCCCACCACCACGTCTAGCCCGCTGTCCACTCGCGCCTGATGTGGGGAAGAAGGCGAGGATGGAGAACAAGGAGAGAGGAGAGGAAAGACAAGGTAGGTTCCAATCAACTCAGCAGTCTGTAAATGTGCCTGAGCTCAGCTCCTCGCTCTCCTCCTCCTTGAGGCGGTACTTGTTCACCCCCACCACCACGTCTAGTCCACTGACCACACGCGCCTGATAGGGAAGGCGGAAAATGGGACATAAAGGATGGGGGAGTGAAGGGGGGGAAGAAAGGGACAGGTGTGAGAGGCAAGAGAAGGTGACACTTCAAATGACTCGGAAGTCTGTGAGAGTCCCTCGTTAGACCCCACCCCCTCCCTCTCACCCAACCCCTCCCCCCACAAACCACACACCTGTTTGCGAGCAGAGCACTCTTCGATCTTGCGTTTGGGCATGCCAGGCATGATGGCCTTGGTCATGCCGCCAGCCGCCTCCACTTCTTCAATGATCTCCAGCGCCTTCCGCTCCAGCTCGCCAGTCAACACCTCCATCATAAACGACCCGCCCCAGGGGGCTTTCCTCCCTTGCCTCCCACCCTGCCTCTCCCTCCCCATCCTCACCTGCCCTCCCCTCCCCATCCTCACCTGCCCTCCCCTCCCCATCCTCACCTGCCCTCCCCTCCCCATCCTCACCTGCCCTCCCCTCCCCATCCTCACCTGCCCTCCCCTCCCCATCCTCACCTGCCCTCCCCTCCCCATCCTCACCTGCCCTCCCCTCCCCATCCTCACCTGCCATCCCCTCCCCATCCTCACCTGCCCTCCCCTCCCCATCCTCACCTGCCCTCCCCTCCCCATCCTCACCTGCCCTCCCCTCCCCATCCTCACCTGCCCTCCCCTCCCCATCCTCACCTGCCCTCCCCTCCCCATCCTCACCTGCCCTCCCCTCCCCATCCTCACCTGCCCTCCCCTCCATCTCCCAACTCCCACCCCTCAAAACCAGACCCCCCACCACTCCCGCACCTCCCACCCAGCATCACACGCACCTGCTTGCGAGCAGAGCACTCTTCAATCTTCCGCTTGGGCATGCCAGACATGATGGCCTTGGTCATGCCGCCTGCCGCCTCCACCTCCTCTATGATCTCCAGCGCCTTCCGCTCAAGCTCTGCAGTCAACGCCTCCATCATAAACGACCCGCCCCACGGGTCCGCCACATGGGTAATACCCGTTTCCTCCTGGAGAATCAGCTGGGTGTTGCGGGCGATGCGCGCGCTCATCTCGGAGGGGAGGGCGAGGGCCTCGTCGAAGGCGTTGGTGTGGAGGGACTGGGTGCCGCCCAGCACGGCCGCCATGGCTTCCACTGTGGTGCGGATCACGTTGTTGTATGGGTCCTGCTCGGTCAGTGAGTAGCCGGACGTCTGGGAAGGAGGGAAGGGGGAGGGTGGGGGGCGGGAAAACGGGGAAGGTGTGAATGGGTGAGAGTGTTTGATGCGTCTCAGATGAGGCTGTATGGGTCTGCTCCGTCAGGGAGTAGCGGGATGGCTGGACGGGGGAAGTGGGTGGGTGGGGAGGGGGAGAAGTGAGAGAGGGGCGAAGGGGTGAAGAGCGGGAGGTGAGAGGGTAAACACCTCATAAAGAGCGTGCAAGGGAATGCAGAGGCATGTGTGATTGCACAACCCTCACCTGGCTGTGCGTCCTGAGGACGAGCGACTTGGAATTCTTGGGATTGAACTTCTCCTGTAGGCCAAAAGAGGGGCCACACGTGAGGGGCCGGCAGGGTGGGCAGAGAGATGGGGGCGAGAGGGAATGAATGGTGGGCAGTAAGGGGCTGAAGCGACAGGCATTGAAAGACAGTGAAACAGAGAGAGGCAGGGAAGGAGAGAGGCAGGGAAGGAGAGAGGCAGGGAAGGAGAGACTGGGGCAGCAGTGAGGGAAGAGCAGGGAAGCGATGCAGCAGATATGCGACTCACCTTGACTAGCTTGGCCCACACACGCCGTGCTGCCCGCATCTTGGCGATCTGCAACATGGGCGCAGGGGAGAAGCGGGCGAACGGGAGGAGAGGCGGCGCCACGGGAGACACATTGTTGTTGCAGGTCGTTATTGAGAATTAAGGGAAAAAAACCACCTACAGCAGAGGCAGTTTGTACCCCCACGACATGCCCGCACCTCCAAGTGCTACCTCCATGTAGAAGTTCATGCCGATGGCCCAGAAGAAGGAGAAGCGCGGAGCCAGCTCGTCCCTTCATGCGTAAATGCTTGCCTCCACGTGCTAGTCCCCACCTCCCATGCACAACTCCCAACCTCCATGTAGACATCCCTACCCCCAAGTACGTCCCTACCTCCATGTACAAGTTCATACCTCAAGCCCGAACGTACCTCCATGTAGAAGTTCATGCCAATGGCCCAGAAGGAGAAGCGCGGAACCAGCTCGTCCCTCCATGTTCAAGCCGGCAACTCCAAGCACAAGTCCCTACCCCTACGTGCACGCCCCTACCTCCATGCTCAAGCCCTCCACGCACAACTCCCCACCTCCACGCACCTCCATGTAGAAGTTCATGCCGATGGCCCAGAAGAAGGAGAAGCGCGGAGCCAGCTCGTCCCTTCATGTTCAAACCCGTACCTCCATGCACAACCCCTACCTAAATGCAGAACTCCCTCCCTACCCCCACGTGTAGGCCCGCACCTCCATGTAAAAGTTCATGCCGATGGCCCAGAAGAAGGAGAAGCGCGGAGCCAGCTCGTCCACGCCCACGCCCGCCTCCATGCCGCACCGAATGTACTCCAGGCCGTCCGCAATGGTGAACGCCATCTCTACAGCACTGGTAGGAGGAAGGAGAGGGGCACGGGGCGCACGCACAGCACGCAGCACACAGCACAGAGAGAGAGAGAGAGAGTGAACACGCATGAGTGGACGAGAGATCGAGAAGCAGGAAAAAAGGGAGAGGCACAAGCCCCTGAGCAGGTCGTACACTCCATCTCCACCACGCTGAAAAGAGTGGGACGGGGGAGGGGGGGACAAAGCGCACAGCACAGCCCCGGCCCTACAAGTCAGCCCCAGTCCCCGCCTTACCAGTATCCCCATAAACTCACCAGTCAGCACCCGCCTCCTGCATGTGGTAACCCGAGATGGAGATGGAGTTGAACTTGGGCATGTGCCTTGACGTGTACGCCATGATGTCGCCCACCACGCGCATGGACGGCGCGGGCGGGTAGATGTACGTGTTGCGCACCATGTACTCCTTCAGGATGTCGTTCTGAATCGTGCCTGACACCTTGGCTAAGTCCACACCTGGGAGGGGGAAGGGAAAGGGAGGAGAGGGAGAGGGCGGGCGGGTGAATGTAGGTGTTGCGCACCATGCACTCCTTCAGGATGTCGTTCTGAATCGTGCCTGACACCTTGGCTAGGTCAACTCCTGGGAGGTGATGGGGCAAGGGGGCAGGGGGAGGGAAGCAGGGCGGGTAGATGTAGGTGTTGCGCACCATGTACTCCTTCAGAATGTCGTTTTGAATGGTTCCGGATACCTTGGTCAGGTCCACACCTGCAGGCAAGGGGAGAGAGGAGATGTGAGGGGGCAGGGGGGATAGGGAGAGGGGGATATGAGGCGCGGGCGGGTAGATGTAGGTGTTGCGCACCATGTACTCCTTCAGGATGTCGTTCTGAATGGTGCCCGAGACTTTAGCCAAGTCGACTCCTGCTCGCGCGCACAGTGTAAAGAGAAGCGAGGGGAGGGGCGGGCAAAGGGGGCGGGGGAAGGGGAAAAGGAAGTGGTTTGAGCGGGCTTTGGTAGATGTACGTGTTGCGCACTATGTACTCCTTCAGGATGTCGTTCTGGATGGTTCCCGAGACTTTGATGGATTGCGCTGTGGGCTAGAGCTCAAAAGCTAGCATTCCCAGGCACCTGCGCACTCAGCTGATTCGCCTTGCCTGCAGCACCACCCCCCACCCCTCCCCCTCAACCACTCACCCTGCTCCTGCGCGGCGACAACGAAGAAGGCCATGACGGGCAGCACGGCGCCGTTCATGGTCATGGAGACGGACGGACATCTTGTCCAGCGGGATGCCGCCGAAGAGCACCTTCCCATCACACAGAACCACTGACCTTGCTCCTGAGCAGCAACGATGAAAAACGCCATAACCGGAAGCACGGCGCCGTTCATGGTCATGGAGACGGACATCTTGTCGAGCGGGATGCCCCCGAAGAGCACCTTCATGTCCTCCACGCTGTCCACTGCCACGCCCGCCATGCCCACGTCTCCCACCACGCGCGGGTGATCGGAGTCATAACTGAAGGAATGGGGGAATGCGAGGGGGGAATGGGGGGGCATGGGGGGTAAGGGAGGAGCGAAGAGCACCTTCATGTCCTCCACACTGTCCACCGCCACCCCCGCCATGCCCACGTCGCCCACCACGCGCGGATGGTCCGAGTCGTAGCTGTTTGAGGGTGGGGGCATGGGGGGACGGATTCATTCATAGTGCGTCTTGTTCATGGAGGGATGCCCCCGACCAGCACCTTCATATCCTCCGCGCTGTCCACCGCCACTCCCGCCATGCCCCCGCCCCCCACCACACGCGGGGGTGGTCCGAGTCGTACCTGATAGCACGCCAGAGGGGGGAAGGAACGGGAGAGGTGAGAAGAGGGAGGAGGGAGGCGAGGAGAGGGAGGAGGGACGCGAGGAGAGGGAGGAGGGACGCGAGGAGAGGGAGGAGGGACGCGAGGAGAGGGAGGAGGGACGCGAGGAGAGGGAGGAGGGACGCGAGGAGAGGGAGATTGCCGCGGGGTTTGAGGTGTCTCGCGAGGTGAGCCCCCTAGTTGAGAAGTCATTTGTTCAGCCAGTGCGCATGCAGCACACTCGAGGCAGTGTTTAGGACACCGTTAGACTGCCTCGTGCTCGAGTGTGCTGCATGAGGCAGTCTGACGGTGTCCTAAACACTCCCCCCTCCCCCCACCCCCAAATCTACCGCCACCTGTTCCCCTCCCCTCTTCTTTCCCCCTCACGCAGCCATTCTCCTTCCCCTCTTGTGTGCCGCTGCCACGCTCCCCCCTAATGCCATCCCGCCCCTCACGCCTGCCCCGTCACGTCGGCCTGTGCGCTCATCCGCGGTGCGTGGCGAGGGCGAACGCCACGGACAGCCGCTTCTGCCCCGCGAGATGACTTCAGAGTCAACTTGAAGGAGTAAAAAGAGTAAAGAACACTAAGAAGACTCAACGGTCACCCCCCGTGCGCTCACCCGCGGTGCGTGGCGAGGTCGAAGGCCACGGACAGACCCTTCTGCCCCGCCGCCAGATTCCGCCGGTAGAACGCGTTCGACTCCTCCGCCGTGCTGGCGGAACGCGGGGGGAGGGGGAGCGGGGAGGGGGAAGGGGCGGGGAGGGGGAATGGGAAAAGAGGAAAGGGGAAATGTGCAATGCGGTTGGAGAAGAGGAGGGACGCGTGGACGTGGCGTGAGTGGTAAGGCGGGAGAGGATCGCCCAGGCGATTACTGGAAGGGCGAGAGCGCGTGACGAAAGCGCGTGGTAGCATTGAGGGCAGCGCCTACTGCAGGCGAGCATCAAGCAGATGGCGAAAAAATCTCGGGCGAAAAGGGCGACGAGAGGTTACCTGAAGCCGGCGTATTGGCGAATGGTCCAGGGGCGCTGCGTGTACATAGTTGCGTAGGGGCCGCGCGAGAATGGGAAGACGCCCGGCATCTCCGTCTTTGACTCCTCGGGCACGTCGGAGTAGGAATAGACCGGCTTGATCCAGATGCCCTGCGCGCCGAGCCGAGAGTGGGTTCACACGGACAGGAGTTCGCGAAGCAGGTTACAAACATCGTGCAAACGCGATCTAGAAAAGAAAGAAAGAAAGAAAGAAAAACTCGCATTCTAAGCCACGCAGGAATGCAGGAATGCGGCGACTGCAGGCGTGCGTGGACTGACCTCAGGCGAGAGTGTCTTGAGATCCTCAAACGCATCCCCGCCCTTGATCTCCTTGGACGCGCGCTTCGCCCACTCCGCCTGCACCGGCGTGAGCTCTGCCTTCGGCGCGTCGCCGTCCGCCGGCGGCGCGGAGCTCGACGAGCTGAACAGCCGCCCGCCGCTGCGCGGCGCTGCTGATGCTGCGGGCACCAGCGCGTCCACCCTGCACGCCGCGGCGGCCGCACGGCGCGCCTGATGTCAAAAGGATGAGGGAAGGGAAGGGAGTCACTGTCAGATCAAAGCCAGCACGAACCGCGCGTGAAAGAGGATCTGACCCGCTTTCCTCTCCCATTGAATATCCATGCTCTTCATTTTCCTCTGCATTCGTTAGCACGATAACATAGATTCTATATCGAAGAACGGAAGCTTCGAGGAAGCGTACCTGCGGGAAGAGCAGATGGCCTCGGGACATGATGAGCTGAGCCGCCTTTCCTCGAGCCATGGCGAGCAGACACAGACAGCAGCTGCTCGGTGTCAATCGGTGCGGATAGGTTCGCTGGCGATGGCAAGGGCTGACCTTGCAAGGTGGAGGTGACGGTGGAAGGTGGGAATGGGTAGGTCGTGGCTTGGAGGGTGAAAGGCAGGACTCAGGAGATATGCGGCGGATGCGTCCGGTGGGATGGCCGAGCGTCCTGAAGGTGGTGCAATCCCAAGAAACGCTACTGTTGCGTTTCTGGTGCTGTAGGGTGATGTCTTCTTGGTTGACGCAACTGTTGCACTGCAGCTGGTGAGGAGAGAGGAATGGTGGAGGGGAAGGGAGGGGAGAGGAGAGGAGCAGAGCAGAGCAGAGCCAGTTGCCTTGAGAGTTGTTCCCTGGGGCGAGGTCACGAGGTGGGGTGAGAGATCCCGACTGACGTGGCAAAACTTCCGGAGACTCCGCAGCCTGACGTGGGGCACACTCTTTTGCCTGGATGCTGTGAAAGTGCTGCCACGCTGGACGTTTCCGATTGCACGCGCCTTCATGCTGGCACCAAGATTTGAGGAACTCGAGATTCTGCCTCTGATTTTACGAGTCTGCTTTCGTCAACGGCAGCTCGACCACCGGTATGGGGTGCTTCGTCAGTGGCTCGGTGACTGCCTGGGCAGTTGTTGCATTAGTAAGAGGCCTTACTTCTTGGATCTTATATAAATGCATGTGCATATCCCTTTCGTGCACATGCAATCGAATCACTTGTTCCATGATCTGCGTTCCTAACCAGAGGGATTCCCGGTATGAATATTATCTGTATTTCCAAGCTGGAAATTGAAAAAGTTCAGCCAGTATTCTGACCTTGAGCATTGGTGGTGACCTTCATAAGCTGAATAAATTCTTGAGCCTCCTCAGCTGTGGAGAGCTGGAGGGTCCGTCCATGCAGTGAAGCCAATCCTGTGCCTTCAGCCGGAAGCTCCATGACTGAATGCCACAGTGCGCACAGCAGAGGGAAGCAGACGATCAGGCACTGGACAAATGAGCAATCGCTCATTGATAATGATTAGTGACTCACAGACAATCAGACAAGGTGGTCGGGAGATGAATTTACACACGTGCAAGCAGACCAACACGAGATGGAAACGGACGTGCAAATTGGCTTATGGAAAGACTGACAGGGCGTCACTCACCAACAACTGTGGAGGATCCACTGGCGTCCATGCTTGCAGCGTGAGCCTCACTAGCCCCTCCATCCACAGGGACGGGCGGCAGTGTTGTGGGCGGCAACATGGGTTGAGCTTGAATTGCATCAGTGGCAGGAGAGATGGAGGCAGCAGGATGTGGTGTTGACGCATGGCCTGATGCATTGCTCTCTTCTTCTGCTGCTACTGCTGTTTCAGTGGCACATGCTGTATGCTCACTCCCTTCTGCTGCATGCTTGCTCCCACGCTGCACTTGTGATTCAATGGGTAACATGCTGCAGCAGCCAATCACGTCCCTTAGAGGCACCGCCCACGCCACCTGCCATTGGCTGGCTCTCTGGCTCCTGCTGTGCCGCCCCGCTGCTGCCACCCTCCACACGTGCAGCATGTGCGATGGTGTGACAATCACGAACGCCTCCTCTGGTGCCACTGGCGAGCCAGGCAATGACGATGCTGATACTGGTACCAATGCTGGTGCTGATGGTGCAGGGGCCACTTCGAAGCATGCCAGGGCATCCTGAGTGTGTGCGGGAAGGGAATAGAACAGGCAAAAATAGACTGAGCATCGACAAGGTAATCAGCAGCTCTTATGATGCTGGGAAACAACTTTGTATGCAAGACCATGCCCCGTGTATCATCCCTCTCCGCCCCTCCCTGTCTCGCTTCCTTTCTCCCCCCCTTCCCTTCCACTCAGCCATTCCACGCATGAACTGACTCCCCTCACCTCATCTCGCCACGCCCCCCCTGCAGCCTCAGCCAGAGCAGCCTGAGCAGCAGCTTGGGAGTGGCAGTAGGGGGCGAGGGAGCGGCCTGTAAGAATTCCCAAATGTTTCTCACCCTTGTAGCACATGCACTCCCTCGCCCTCACCTCGTCTCGCCACGCCCCCCCTGCAGCCTCAGCCAGAGCAGCTTGAGCAGCGGCTTGGGAGTGGCAGTAGGGGGCGAGGGGGCGGCCTGGACTCAGCTGCCTTGGCAGGCGCAGCGGGTGCAGAGCCTGGGAGGGGCCGGGGGGACGCGCCACGTTGCGGATGCTCTCTGCTGTTTTTGCTGCTAGTGCCAGTGCCGATGCTGCTGGTCGTGCCACCACTCCCAACACTCCCTGCGTCAGACCTGGGAGGTGAGAGAAGGGTGGGGTTGGGTGGGAGATGGGAGAACTGTAGTGGTTGCATTTGCATTGGGAGGAGAAGAGCAGGGGCATGTCGCATGGGCGCCAGACAACCATTTGGAACGGAAACACCGTGCATGCAAACAACGCGCTGGCAGGAATGAGGGCATTCAGGGCATTTCAGTAGAATACCGCACAGTGTGTGGTGCACTGGGTTGCGATGTGGTGCAGTGGGGTGTAGTGCGGTGGGATGTAGTGCAGTGCGTTACTGTGTGGTGCAGTGCGAAGTAGGTGGGCCAAGCAAGATATCTCACCAGATGCAAGGCCGGGGAGACCGCCCCTCTCCCAACCCCTGATTGGACGGTCCAAGAGGCCTGTCACGCCCTGCTCATGGAACGGTTCAATGCACATGGGATGTGGGAGAGGTGAGAGGTGAGCAGTGGGGAAGCTTTGGCTAGGAGCGTGCATCAAGGCCACAGTTTGCAGTGATAAGAGCACAGCATGCAGCGTGGTTGAGCCAGGTTGGGAAGGGGCAGTTGATGGGAGCAGCAGGGGGCAGGCACCTGTATAAGTGAGGCGAAGAAGGAGGCTTCGTCTGAGGCGTGAGGGGCCCATGCCTGCCCCGCCCGCTCCATGCCTTCCTCGTTCTCCTCGTCCCATGCCAATGATGCCATCCCCTGCCATGCCATGCCATGGCACGCCATGGAGACAGGAAGGAAACCAGAGGAAGATGGTGGGAAATGCAAAGATGGTGGAGAGATGGCAGGCAGGAAAACCGGGGAGAGAGCGGAGCAGAGAAGGAAGGCAAGCAGCCATGCCAGGAGAGTGCAGCAGTGCCACCACCCGTTGGCTTCTGCTGATTGGATTGTTACCTTGGAAGTGGCATGGGACATGCGGGGGGCGGAGTGCGAGAGAGCAAAGAAGGTGGTGCGCAGCACAGCAGGCCTTAGAGACGTCTCAAGGGAGGGATGAGGAGCATCACTAGCAGGCCCGTGCGACAAAGTAACCTGAGAGTTATTGAACGGACGGATCGCACCTTGGAAGCGGCATGGGACATGCGGGAGGCGGAGTGTGAGAGAGCGAAGAGGGTGGTGCGCAGCAGACTCGTCCACCCTGCCCACACCCCCTTGGCGAACCCTGCCGGGCTCTGCAGGGCAATGAAAGAAGGACACAAAGCGCAGAGGAAGCTTCTTAAGGAGGAGAAAGGGAGTATAGTGCCAGGGTGATGGGCAGAAGTGAGCATGGTTAAAGAGGCATGATGATGGGCATATGGAAGATAAACGCAAGCAGTTGAAGGGGAAGCAATGGTGGAGCTATTTTTTGCAGCCCGCAGTATCTAAGCGAGTAAGGCATAAAAAGGGCAGGAGAAGGGCAAGATGGGAGAAGTGCAGGAGAGGGGCAGGAGAGGGGCAGAAGAAGGGCAGGAGAGGGGCAGAAGAAGGGCAGGAGAGGTGGTACCCGGCGCATGAGCAGTGTGTGGGTGGGCGAGGCGAGCAGGTCCCAGAGGCTGGCAGAGAGGGACGAGAGCAGCCCCACCGGGTTGCCCAGGAAGTCTGCTGATCCCACCACCTGCACGCAGGGCGGATGAATGGACGCAGGGGTATGGGTGATGGAAGAGGTGATGGAAGAGGTGATGGAAGAGGTGATGGAAGAGGTGATGGAAGAGGCTTGAACAAGTTTTTCTTTGGAATGGAATAAGAGGCAATGAGTGGCCGCCTGAGCGTTGTGCTGCGAATAACTGCAACCCTTCCAAGACGCAGCATTTAGCTGTGGCTGGCAGGAGTGCCACCTTGCACAGCCTGCTCAGTGGCATTGCTACCTTGTATAGGCTCTCTCACTGGTCTCACCTTGTACAGCGCCTGCAGCAGCTGCAGCGTGTAGTGCCTCTCAAGCCTCGCTCCCAGCGATGCCGTTCCCCCGAAAAAATGCTCCAGCTGCCACGCGGACAGCCCCAGCGGCGCCCCCTGCACGTCCGCCAGAGACAGCACACTCCGCTGCACCACTGCTCCCAGCGCCCCCAACACCCCCTGCGCTGCCGCCCCCCTGCTCTGCTCCGCGGCCCATGGTGCACTGGCGAAGCTGATGGTGATGTGCATGGGGCGGACGGCCATGGTCTCTATGTACATGTTGGCCGTGCCTGGAATGTGGGGAGATGTGTTCATGCCGTGCCCGCCCACCACCCCCACCGCTGCCACTGATGCGCCACTGCACCAGATGTACACTCGCTGCATATGCTCCTGCCCCTGCTGCCCTCCCTCCTTTTTGTCCTCCTTATCTCCACCTCCCCTCCCTGCCTGTGCTCCAGCTACTCCCCTCACCCCCTCCCGTCCCTGCCCCCTTCCCCCGCCAGCATTTCCGGCTCTTCCTCTCTCCACAGCCTTGGTGCCGGAGGCAAGAGAGGGGGCATGGGGCGGAGAGGAAGGCGAAGGGTGGCCGAGTGCGGAGAGTGCAGCGATGCACGTGCGGGAGAAGTCCAGCAGGCGCAGCAGCAGATGCTCCTCGAGCTCTAGGGAGAGGGCGGCGAGGCTGGGGGGAGGGAGGAGGGAGGGGGGCAGGAGAGCAGATACACATGAAGGATGAGGTTGGAAAGAGCATACATATATGTATATGTATATATATATATATATAATTTTTTTTTTTTGCATTTCATGACACAAAAGGCGAGCAGGTGCAGCAGCAGATGCTCCTCGAGCTCCAGAGAGAGCGGGGCAAGGCTGGGCGGTGGGAGGGGTGGGGGCAGGAGGGAAGATACATGTAGAAGAGGTGGTTGCGAGAGGTTCAATGATGGAAAGAAAAGAGCAATGGAAGATGGAGGTGATGTGGAGCGGAGACAACAAGTCATCATGGTAAGGATAGCAATGCCAGCATTCCTCCACCTGTTCCCCCCCACTGCCAGCACTCACCCGACCCTCACGCTCTCCACACAGAGTACAGAGCCCACTCTCTGCCGCCACGCCACCACCTCTGCTGCCACCGCTGCTTCCCCCCCTTGCAGGCTGGCTTGGCCCGGCGCTTGCAGGAGGGAATTGTGGGAAGGAGCTTCACGGTGGTGTTGGGCTGTGTGGTGGAAAACCGAGGAGAGCAGCAGGGAGGGCGATTGTAGTGCAGCTTGTAGCAGCATGAGGCTTGGTGGGGTGTGGGATGGGTGGAGCATGGAGAAAGGGGAGGGTGAGGGTGAAGAGAAGGGTGATGGCGTGGAGTGAGTGAGGGAGAGAGGAGGAGGGGAGGAGGAGGCGAGGAGGATGGGGAAGAGGGCGTTGGGGAGTTGGTTGTCGAGTTGGAGGTGGGAGAGGAGGAAGGAGAGGGAGTGTTGGTGGGCGGAGCGGGAGAGGGAGATGGAGAGGCGATGTAGGGAGAGCAGTAGTAGCTCCTGAGGGCGAGCGTCTATAACGGAGAGTGCTATAAGGGGGATGCGCACACTCAGGAGAAATTCGAGTAGAGAGGAGGAGGAAGACTGGGGCACGGTGGGGGATTTGGAGGAGAGACTCCACGATTGGCGGTGCTGACTGGGTGCCAGCTCAGCGTGACGTGGCATGGTGGAGTGGTTAAGACGGAGAGGGGGGAAGGAGGAGGGAGGAGGGAAGAGGTCGATGTCACACACAGAGAGCACCTGCACATGTGTGGGGGTGGGGGTGGGGGAACAGCAAAAAAAAAGGGGAAGGTAAGTCGGGAGACAGAGTGGTAGGAGGGGATGCACACAGGTGAGGGAGCGGAGAGGTGGACTGATGGCATTCAAAGATGCACAGTACACACAAAGGCAGCTATTCTGTCAGCAAAACACCTATTTATATAAAAAAACAGACAAACCAGTACTGGTGTCCCTACCCTGATTGGTCCTTGTGCTGACACGGATACTCTCAGGCGCCGCTGCTCCCTCTGTGAGTGCAGAGAGGCAAGAAAAGGTGAAGAGGGGAACGGGAGGCAAGGCAGGGAAAGGGAGGACAGCCGGACAGAGGCACAGGATGACGTAGGGGAACTATAGGTCGGGGAATAGTTGGGATAGAGTGCAAAATGGTGCAATAGTTTTAAGAATGGTGTGAGCAATGCATTGTCCATGGGTGCTTGTGACAAACAATGGCGGGTAAGAGGATGTGCAGGGAGAAAGAAAGGAACGAGGGGGTGGAGAGTGCAGAAGAGAGGGAGCAGAGGGTTCCAGGGGCCTCTCACTCACGGCTCATACCTGAGGGGTAGCAGGGAGGACGACAAGCGGGAAGTGCTTCACTTGGTCCAAAGGGAAGTGACCCATGCTGCCGCCCTCCCCTGGTACCTGTCCCATGCCATGGCAGCACATGCCATGCACCCAGAAGACACATGCCATGCCCGCATGACACACCCATGGCCCATGATTTGTGTCATATAGCCATGATGTGATGGCATGCCAGCATGTTGCCACAGCCAGGAGGAGGAAGAATCATGTCGTCGACAACACAACCATCATGTGATGTGAGAGGAAGGCTGACAGCGAAGACAGAGTGTGAGGGCACGATACCACACGGCAGGGCCGCCAGGGATAGATGCAATAGCAATTGAAGGAGCGAGCATGCATCATGTGCTTGGCACTTGAAAAAAAGCCTGTCACATTCTGACCTCAAGCACGAGGCGGTGTGGGCGGCAGGGTTCGTCCCATGCGTAGGGCGTAGTGGCAAAGGGTTTGAGGGAGTCAGTGTGGCCCAGCCCCTCGCACCCGCGCTGGTAGAAGCGCAGCACCTGGGAGCAGCATGGGAGTGGGGAGGGGAAAAGGGGGGTTCCTTAGTCAATCCTCTGCTGAGAGCTACCTGTGCGTCCGTCACCCCTACCCTACATGCCCCCTGCACGTGCTCACCTCGCGGGAGCAGTTGTCAATGCGAAAGGGCATGAAGCCAGAGTCGTCCTCCCCAACCACCACCAGGTACGTGCCTCCCCCACTCCACTTGCCACTGCCCTCGCCTCCCCTGCTGCTGCCATCATCGCTGCCAACCCTCGCTGCCTCAGTGCCCCCAGAGATCCCACCACTGCTGCTGCCGCCTCCACTGGCGTTTGTCGCAGCACTGGCAGCAGCAGTGGTAGAAGCAGTGGCGGTTGTATGCGTGGCGGCAGCGGCAGTGGCAGCGGCAGCAGGGTGTGGCAGGTGGGGTTCGGCGAGCGACACGTCGACCCTCACGATGCGAGTAAGGGCGAGGGGCGAGGACGGCGAGGAGGAGGGGGAGGGGGAGCAACGCAGCTTGAGCTGAGTGTCGCCTAGCTGGGAGGGGCGGAAGGCACCCGACCACTCACAGCTGCTGTCAGCCAGGCGCAGCGACAGGTAGAGGCGACTGTGTGTGGAAGAGGGGGACGGGAGAGAAAGGGGGCGAGGGTTTATTAACGCAGCTTGCGTTGAGTGTCGCCAAGCTGGGAAGGGCGGAAAGCACCCGACCACTCACAACTGCAATCAGCCAGACGCAGTGACAGGTAGAGGCGACTGTGTGAGTGGGGGAAGAAGTGGGGAAAAGGAGGAGGAGGGGTCAAGTGGGGTAGCGTGGAAAAGAGGGGAGTGAGAACAGGCAGCTTAACTCGTGGTAATTGGGTTGGAGTTGCGTGGTAGCAAGCGAGTGTCACAGATTGAGACTGGAGTGCTGCTGGGGAGGAGGGCAGGTGGGTGTTACCGCTGCAGTTTGGTGAAGTGGATGGGTGCGTTGCCCCCAGCCTTGATGAGAACGTGCCGGTCCGTGCCGTGCTGCTTCACCCGTATGTCCGCTGACAGGCTGTTGGCTAGCACGTACCTGGCCGAGTGAAGGGGGAGGAGGGAGGGGTGGGGGACACAGGAGAGACAACAGGCTAAGTTGAGAAGAAGAAGGGGAGACTGTTACAGGGCGAAACGACTGAGCAATGTAACATAGGGATGCATGGTGCACAAGGCGAAACGCTTCGATACACAGAGTGCAGCAATGGCAAGCGCAGTGACGAGCAACGGCATTCCGGTAGCACGGCATGGGGCAGAGACCGAGGGCGAAGGGTGACGGTCTTGGCACGGCCAGCAGAGGCACCAAGGGTGTCATGGCAGGTGAGACTCAGTGCGAATGCACCTCCACCACCACCACCACCACTGCTGCCGCCACCACTGCCACTGCCACCGCCACCACTGCTGCTGTTCCCTGCTTGCTGTGGAATCAACACCTCTGCCACTCCCCCTGTTGGCTCCACTGGGATAGCTGCCGACCAACCAGAGAGCGACACGTGGCTCCAATCAGGCACGGTGGAAGGCGGGGGGTCATTGAGCGAGCGCATACTGCCAGCACCACCCAGACCAGCAGCTGTGGTAGTAGAAGAAGCAGCAGCAGTACCCCCCACTCGCAGCACAAGTGCTGGCTGGGTGGGGTGCAGCCCTGCTGTGGCCCCAGAAGCAGCAGAGTCGGCATCAAGAGCGGGTGCAGGGGGGGCTGGAGTGAACAGAGCCATAGGGGGTTGCAGCGTTCCTCCTCCCTGGCTTATCTCCTCGCTCCCTCCTGCCCTGCGCTCGCCTCTCGATCCTGAACCCCTTTCCCCAGCTCCCAAGTTTGCGGCTGCAGGGCCGTGTGACAGCGAGCCATCAGCAGCAACGCTCACTCCTCCACTCATCCCAGGAAGCACAGCAGCCAACCCTCCCACTGGACCGCCCCCTGCTGCGCTGCCAGCTGGCACAAGCGGCACGCCGCTCGCCACCAATGCAGTCAGATGAGATGCTGACGTGGCAGCTGCCAGGCTGTCGCTTGTGAGAAGGGCGGGGTGCGGGGGGAGGAAGAGGTGGGAGGAGGGCGTGGCGAGGAGGTGCGCGTCGGAGAGGCAGAGGGGGAGGTCGGTGGCGTTGACGATGGTGAAGGGGGCTAGCAGGTGCAGGCAGCGGGAGGCAGAGGCAGGGCGGTGCAGGTGGATCAGGTGCAGGGGCACGGGGGGACCTGATGGGACACAGAGGAGTGAGATGAGATGCACAGGGGTCAGGACAGGGGACGAACGAGTGGCCGGGATGAAGGGTACTGAGAAACTGCTCAACTGACCTGATTGGAGCCTGGAGGGAGGCTGCGAAGAGGAACCAGTGAGTGTGGATGCATCGCAACATCGCATAGCATAGGATAGAATTGGTCAACGCTGCCACTTAGTCATGTCACAGCAGCACCCACCTGTGACGCGAGTGAGCAGCAGCTCTTCCTCCTTGTGCTGCTGCCACTCTTCCCTCTGCCCCTTCTCCCCCTCCTCTCCTTCTTTCCCCTTCCATCCCCTCTTCTGTCCCTTTTGCCGCCCGCTGTTGTTGCTGTCAGCAGGAGGCGTGGGAAGCAGCAGAGGTGGGGATTCCAGGAAACCGGGGACGATCAGTGTGGCGTGAAGGGTGTGGTGGGCGGCGAAGTCAAACACCTCCACTGATGAGCCCTGTGAATGGGAGGAGCAGGGTGACTGTGAGGCTTGGCGGGGAACAAAGCTGGGGACTGGCCAAACCTTTTACTGATGAGCCATGAGAAGGTGGAAGGAGACGTGGAAGGGGTGGAACCAAACATGTAGGGTGTGGTACAAAAGATGCAACGTCACGGAGTTTACTGTGTGAGCTGGGAAGGGCAGTGAAACTGTGGGCACAGGGCAGCTTACAGGAGGAATGTTGATGGTGGTTGGTAGCAAAACGTGTTGGTCTGTGCAAATCAGTGTGACAGTAACCGGGACGAGCAGAAGATTCTTCAACACAAGAGGCGCTGCGAGGCACAGCTGCTGCTCCCACGCCATGCCCTCTTCCATTGCCTCACCCCCCTCTCCTCCTCTTCCTCCTCCTCCGCCTCCTCCCCTCTCCCTCCTCTCCACTTCTCCCTCCCCACCCACCGCCCACCATACGTCACCCCCTCCTCTGCTGTTTCTCCTGCCTCCTGCCCTTCGGCTATCCATGGGTGCAGCAGAGGAGGCGAACACAGGAGAAAGGCAGCCGATGCTGGCAGCACTGCCGCTCCTGGATAGAGGATAAGAGGGGCTAGTGGTTGGGGGTGATGTGGCGCCATTGTTTGCTGTTGCCACGATGGCAGTGCCTGCTGACGTGGCAGTAGGAGCAGGAAGGTGCGGATTGGCTAGGAGAGCAGCAGCTTGGGCTGCAGCAGCTGCTGCAATGGCGACGGCATCGGCGCTAGAGGACGAAATACGGCGGAGGGTGTGAGGGGGGCTGCTGGGATTTGGGCGGCTGGTGGCGGTGAGGGGAGGCGAGTGGGAGCGGTGGGCAGCAGCGGTGGCCTCGTGAGGTGGACTGGTGACAGGCGTCCGAGCGATGGGGCAATGCGAGGGTGCCACGGGTGGTAAGCTGCAGGTGAATGGGAGTAGAGGGACAGGCAGGGAAAAAGAGCAAAGGCGTGGTGAGGCATTAGCGAGAAAAGAGCGTTGAGGAAGGAGTGCAACAGCACAAGCGAGAGGTGCAAGGGTGGATCCAGGTTAAAGGAGCAGAGGCGAAGAGCGGTACCTGAGAGGCAGAGGCGATTGGAAGGCGGTGAGGGAGAGGCAGAAGAAGGAGGGCGGAAGCAGGTCAAGAGAGGCAGCAATTCCGGGAGTGGAGATGGAAGAGGACGAAGCAGAGCGGGTCAGCAACGGTGCCACACCACCGGTGCCGCCGCCACTACCAGTGCTGGTGATAGCACTCATGCTGCTGTTGCTGCCAGTAATATCCAACCCACTGGTGCCAGTGCAAGTGACAGTGGCAGCAGCGGGGGCCAGCACAGCATCATCGAGCCTGGTCTCCTCGCTCCACGCCCACGGCCCCTGCACTGGTCGCCAGCGGAGGGAGGTGGACGAGGTGAGGTGCAGCGGAAGGTGCAGAGTGCTCTTGGCACCACACACCCCCACGTCTTCCACAGGCAGATCGGGGCGGTGGGAGTGATGAGCTTGGAGTAGCAGGGGCGTGTGCGAGGCGTTGACGATTGAAACGAGGGAGCGAAGCACAAGCCGGTGCTTGCGCCCCTCTCGAACCACCTCTAGCAGCACTGTCCCGTGCACCCGCGCTGCCCCCCCTTCCACGGCCGCCACCCCTTGCAGCCCCACCCCTGTCGCCCCGTCCTCTCCCCACCCCATTCTGAGCCCTTGCAAAGCCATGGCCTCGGCCCCCCTTTCCCGTTCACATCTGCTCCCCCCTGCTACGTATGAGACAGGGAAGGCCAGCCGCGTGCCGCCCTCCAGCAGCAGCGGGCGGCAGACTGAGTCACTGCCGTCCACTCCCACTCGCACCCACAATTGCCGGCCTGCCATTCCTGCTGCTGCGGTGCTGCCTGTGAGGCTCGTTGCCCTTCCTCTGCTGCTGCCCCTCCCATGGCTGCCTGCCTGTGCCTGGGGGATTCTTGAGGAATGAGAGGCGTGGTGTGCGGTGGAGTGTGGTGCAGTTGCCCCGAGGGAGGAGGAGCGGGTGCGAGGACGAGGGAGGCGAGAGGAGAGGGAAAGAGGCAGGCAGGCGCCAACAGGCACTGTGATGTGCGGTGGGTTGGTGGGAGGAACGGTGGGTGCTGATGCTGATGCAGAAGTTGGTGCTGATGGTGGTGCTGAATACTTGGGGTCTGAAAAGTCCTCGCTGAACCAGAGGTGCAGCGTCACGCCGGTATAGTTTTCCACCCAATAGTGTGATGACACGTGGCGCGCCTGAGAAGATGAGAAGGAAGGGCGGGACGAGGCACGATGAAGAGGCGAAGCACAAGCGCAAGCAAGGAGACACAAGCGCAAGCAAGGAGACACAAGCGCAAGCAAGGAGACACAAGCGCAAGCAAGGAGACACAAGCGCAAGCAAGGAGACACAAGCGCAAGCAAGGAGACACAAGCGCAAGCAAGGAGACACAAGCGCAAGCAAGGAGACACAAGCGCAAGCAAGGAGACACAAGCGCAAGCAAGGAGACACAAGCGCAAGCAAGGAGACACAAGCGCAAGCAAGGAGACACAAGCGCAAGCAAGGAGACACAAGCGCAAGCAAGGAGACACAAGCGCAAGCAAGGAGACACAAGCGCAAGCAAGGAGACACAAGCGCAAGCAAGGAGACACAAGCGCAAGCAAGGAGACACAAGCGCAAGCAAGGAGACACAAGCGCAAGCAAGGAGACACAAGCGCAAGCAAGGAGACACAAGCGCAAGCAAGGAGACACAAGCGCAAGCAAGGAGACACAAGCGCAAGCAAGGAGACACAAGCGCAAGCAAGGAGACACAAGCGCAAGCAAGGAGACACAAGCGCAAGCAAGGAGACACAAGCGCAAGCAAGGAGACACAAGGCACCTTAAAGAGGCTGCTTTTGAGTCGACTCAAAAGCAAGCAAGGAGACACAAGGCAACTTAAAGAGGGGAGCCAAGGGACGGAGCAAGCAGCAGCGATGCGAGCTTCACAGTGAGAGCTGGCATGACGACAGCAAGAGTGGGAAAGCTGGCATGACGACAGCAAGAGTGGGAAAGCTGACTCTCAACAATACGTGTGGCACCGAAGGTGGTGGACGTGGGAGTACATAAGCAGGTGCCACAATGCTTTATCTTGCGCCATGCTTTTGCAGAGGTGCAGGATCGAGCATAAGCACCTGAGGGTTGGAGAAGAATGAAGCTGCAATGCATGCTCCCTGCAGTCATAAGGGAGGGTGGACGAGAGAGCAACATGTGGTGTGTTGAATGTAAGAAACAATGAGTGGAATGGAAAGCATGGAACATAAATTAGAAAAACTTGCCCAGGGTAGGTGATGAATACATCAGGGTAGAGGAAAGAAATGCATCCAAGGCAGAGGAGAGCACAGGCGGGCATCATAGAGGAAAGGAGGGCATCAAAGGGCAGAGGAGACAAATTTTACCTCGAGGAGTGATGGCGTGAAATTGAGATTGAGAGGATGGGAGGAGGTGAGAGCCAAGGAGGTGAGAGCGGTGGAGGAGGCAGAGGGAGAGGAGGAGGAAGTGGAGAGGAGGGGTGGAGGGAGAGTGGAGGCAGAGGCAGATTGAGGGTTGGTGAGGGAGGAGAGGGAGTGCAGAGAGGCTGAAAGCTGGAAGGGCCACGGCTCACAAAGAGGCTCTAAGGCAGCCTGAGAGGGGGGTAAGGAGGGAAGAGGGGGAAGGAGCAAGGAGATGGCAAGCACATGAAGGAAATAGTGCAGGAGGATGGAGGATATGAGGCTGAATGAAAAGCAGTGTGTGTTCAGCTTCAAGGTCATAGGGACAAAAAGGTGGTAGTGGAGTTTGGCGGCAAATAAGACTTACTGCTACGGCTGCTTTATCTCGCGCTGCTGCGAGCTCGGTTTCACAGTGACCACCCACCTTGTCCTGGTTGAGATAGTGCAGAGCGAGAGTGGTAGCAAGGGAGGCGTGCAGGTGGCCACTGGGCAGGCATGCAAGGGCGTGGCCTGCTGTGGTGCTGAGGGAGAGGTAAAAGAGGGGCTCGCTGTCCTCCTCACTCTCCGCCACCACTGCCACCAAGCTCTCCACGCCCACAACCACCAACGCATCGCACGCAGCGCTGCCGCTGCTACTGCTGTGACCCTCCTTGCTGCTGCTCTGAAGTGCTGCACTTTCTTGCTGCTGCCTCTTCTGTGTTGTGCCTTTGCCATTGCTGCCTTCTGTGATCCCTTGGCGAGATGTTGCCTGCCCAGATACAGCCTGCCCAGATGATGCCTGCCCTGGCACCTGAAAGCTTGTGAGGAAGTGCAGAATCTCAGGCGAGCAGCGTGCATGCACTCGCCCCAGTGCCACGTGAGTAGCAAAAGCCAGCGTGGCATGTGGGGTGAAGGGAGACGTGCCCAAGCTACCAGTGGTAGCTGCAGCTGATGCTGCTGTTTGTGGTGGTGGTGGGGCTGGTGTGCGCCTCTCATCACCATGCCCTTCAACGCCAAAACCACCCTCTCTATTCTCACCTACGTTTTCCTGCTCCCTTCTCTCCAGTTCCGCTAGATCCTTCAGGCAAATCATGCCAAGTGCACTGCTGCGACCACCAACACCACCACCAGAAACCGTGCTGTTGTTTTCACGTATCTCCTCTGCATATCTCCCTAATGTTGAACCTCCCTCTTCTCTCACTCTGCCCGACCCGAAGTCCCCCTCCTCCTCCACTCTCCCAGCACCAGCATCAACCCCATCTGCACTCATCGCTGTTACACTGCCCGAGGGAGCAGCAGCCGCTGCCAGTCGCACCTGCAGCCCTGCCAGCTGCAGCAGGCGCATCGAGGCAGGAGGAGGAGGCGGCAGACGAACAGATGGTGGGTTGGATGCGGTTGGGGCAGATGCAGGGGCAGGGGCAGGTGGAGGAGCATCTGTAGGAGGAGGCAGGAAGCAGCCAAGGCGGAAGGAGAAAGGGTTGGAGCTTGGAGGTAAGGAAGCAGCATTGAGGGAGGCAGGAGGGAGGTTAAGCGGGTCAGGCGTGAACAGGTCGGCAGCACCAGCAGCCCTGCCATCACCACTGCCGTCCCCATGGCCCACCTCAGAATGCCCCAAGCCAAGACGGCGCACACAGGCAAGTTCCACAGAGTGCAGGTCAGCAGAGAGCTTGGCTCTGCTGAGACTAGTACTGGCAGGTACAGAGGCTTGCACGTGGGAGTGCACATTCCTCACACGCACCACCACCGCACTGCACCCCTCCGTGTTGCTCGCCCACTCCCCTGGGAGTATACCTGGGCTGTGCTGATGTGTCGTGGTGTTCGCACTCCTCTGATGCTGTGCTGCCTGCTGTGTGCAGGTGTTAGGAGCAGAGGGAGTGGAGGTGTGCTGCGAGGCACCCTGGGAGGAGCGCTGGGAGGAGCGCTGGGAGGTGCTATGACTGGGAAGCACAAGAGTGAGCCCATCCACCTTCACTCCTGCATGCACCTTCACATGCACATGTGCTGCTGCTTCTGCTGCCACAGCTACTGCTGCTGCATTACCACCATCACTGCCTGTGCCGATTTCACCAACCAAGACGCCAATTGCTTCCTCCTCTGCTCCCCCAGTCACCCCCTCCTCAAGAGACGCACAGAACAGCCCCTCCATATCACCATGCCCTACACTACCACCAGCCTCACCCAGCCTCACGCCCATCATCACAGTCAGCCCCTCAGCCCCTCTCCTCCCAATCCCCTGCGCCTCCCTTACGCCCGATCCATTGCTGCCTCTTGCACGCTGACCCCCTGCCACCTCTGCACCTCCTGTGTCGCCTCCTTTAGGTGCCTTAGCGACAAGCAGGGAGGCGAGGCGAGACCAGGCAGGGAGGAAGGCCCAGAGGGTGGGGGAAGGGAGCTGAACAGTTGCATGTATAGCCTGGATGTTGTAATGGGGGTCACCACGTGTTTGTGCTGGTGGTGGTGCTGCTGGGACTGCTATGTTCACTGGGGTGGAAGGCGGTTCTTGGGATAGCAGCGAGAGGCTTGCCAGAGGTTGAGAAAGGGGATGTGGGGACTGTAAGGGGGGAGGAGTACAGGCGAGGGAGAGGGGTGCAGCAGCGGTGGTGCGAAGGGAATGGGGTGAGGGTGGGGTTGAGGTGGAGGAGAGGGAGATGGCGAGGTACGGAGACAGGCGGGTATGAGCAGCGTCACGAGTCACAGAGCAGCCCCTCTCACGCTCGATCACAAAGAGAGGCACAGCCACTTGCAGAAACTCCAGCACTGCCGCTGAAATCTCTCCTGCAGAAAATCCTCCTGCCCTCGCCCCTTCTGGTGATGGTCCTCCAGTTGCTGCTTCCCCTGCTGCTTGTGCATCTGCTGCCATTCCTTCCTGTGAAAAGGCAGGTGGCGGCCTTGCCTGGCCACTGGCTGGGACTGCAGCAGCACTACCACGCTGTTGGGAAGTGCTTGCCATCTCTGCCTGTAAGCTCCAAAGGGCAATGCTCTGCCACGTGGCCTTCACGGATTGGCCAGATGGTTGCAGCGCTGCAGCGCAGCGCAGATGATCGATGGAGAGGAGGGCGACGAGAGGGCCAGGGGGAAGAAGGAACGAGGGGGTTGTGCCATGAGCGGAGGAGGAAGGGGAGGATGGGAGGAAGGTTGTGCCTCGTGTGATGTGCAGGTGCAGGTGGTGCAGGTGGAATCTCAGGGCGATGGGAGGGGAGGGCTGCTGGGGGGGGGCCTGGGGTGGGATGAGGGCGAGCAGGGCAGCGATGGAGCCTGAGAGAAGGTCCGCCTCCCTTACAGGGGAATTCTCTGGTTGGAAGGGAGTAGGAATAGGAGAGAGAATGTGAATGACACACGGAGAATGGACAGAGAAAATTAGAGCCAATGCAGCAGATTAGAGCCAGCATATTGATCTGTTTTGTCGTTGGATTTTCTATCTAGCATTCAGAACTGATGATTTCAACACAACAACGGCATAGTCAGCTATGGCACACGCTGCACACACACACCCATGAGGAGCAGTTGGACCGTGAGCACTTGAACCATAACTCGCATCCACTCATGCGGGCTGCCCATCGCTGCTGCCTCCCCTCCTGACTCCACCATCCCTGATGCTGCCTCAGATCCCACGCCCACTCCTTGTGCTGCGCCCTGCAGTGCAGAACCGGGCTGGCTGATGCCCCCAGCAGCCTGTGGCAGTGCCACGTGCAGCAGAACGTCCACTCGCTGCACCACAGGAATTCTCTCCCCCACCCTCCCCACCACCTCCTCCTTTTCCTCCCCTGCACCACTTGCGCCTCCACCAGATACCACCTCGCAGAGCGGCAGCAGCTTGCCTGTGGCCATGCTAACTTTGAATCCCTCCACCCTCACCTCCACCGCCTCCCATTCCGCATCGTCTCTGTTCCCACTGTTCCCTTCTCCGACCACTGTGCTCCCTCTTCCTGTCTCACCCTCCTCGCTTCCTCGTCTCCTGCCCACGTTACTGATTTCATGCTGCTCTCTCCCATCCAGCCATGTGATTGTGCCAGATGAGGACCAATCCCAGCATGCCACGTGGCGTGGGAGGTTGGCAGTGATGAGAGGCAGCTCAATGATCAGGCACGGATGGCCCAGCCCCTCTCCTAATGTCGTTGCTGGTTTGATCCCATTGGATCCACGTGGCTGAAGCTGATTGGATGCGGATGGCTGCAGCAAGCTCTGTGGATGCCCTAAGGGAATGACAGCGATCTCACACCCCTCTAACCTCACAGCCCCCTCCACTCTCATTCTCCCTTGCCCTTGCTCCCACTCCTCCCCTTCTCCCTCCGCCTCACCTCCCTCTTCCACCATTTCCCATCTCAGGGGGCTATCCCCCACAGGGCTGAAAAACTGCGCCCCTGACCAGCTGTCGCCCTCCCCCGACCCACTCCCCAGCCCGCCCACACTCTCCCCTTCCCCCCTCTCCCGCTTCCCCTTGCCTTTCACCCCCAAAGGGCTTGTTTGGCTGCTGCTGCCGCCCCCACCCGCCCATCCCCCTGACCCTCCGCCTCTCAGCTGCTTCGCACCCCCACCTCCCCGAACAGCAATGCCCCCTCTCAAGGGTGAGGGGGAGAGGCGGGTGGTGGCAGGGGAAGCAATGGCAGTGCGGGCTGCTCTGGGCTTTCCTGTGTGGTGGCTGGATGGAGACGGGGAATCAGAAGAGACGGACATAAAGAGAGGGGTGCGTACAGGGAGTGTGATGTGGGGAGAGGGTGAGGGGCTAGTGGCAGTAGTGAAACTTGCGTGCTGTGACTGCTGCTCCTGCTGCCCCCTCTCTCGACCGTGCTGTGCAAGGGGCGACACTGAGGCAGGCTCCCCACTTCCCCCAACAACAGCATGGGTCAAAGGAGCAGTCACGGAGGGAGCAGGGAGGTAGCGCGTGACGTGCCCCACAAGCCCATGTGTGAATGGCTGTGAGACCACGAGCAGCAGGCGGGAAACAGCCACATCTACATGCAGTGTGGCGCCTGCCCCGGGCACACCCTCCCCTGATGCACCTGTGTGAGCGCCATGGGCTGCAAAGGTTATGGTGCCAGGCTGTGCTCTTGGTGCCCACACACTGCCCACTATCACCTGCTTCTGCTGCTGCTGCTGTTGCTGTTGCTGCTGCTGCTGCTGTTGCTGTTGCTGCTGCCCTTGCTGCAGTTGTAGAGTGCTTGGTGGGGAAGTAGAAGCCGAATCTGCAGGGAGATGAGGAACACAGCGCCCCCCGCTACCCACAGGGCCCCATACCTCAAACCCACTGATGCGCCCACAGGATGCCCATGTGGCTGGCAGTGATTGGCCCATCACGTGCTTCACATCTGCCTGCACCAGTGCCTCACTCAGAGAAGCAGTTGCCACTTCCACCACATACCCCTCACCCTCCCCTTCCTTCCTTCCTGTTATCTCATGGATCCTCTCTACCCCTCCTTTCAGTCCTTCTAGTGTTGCCTCGCCCCCCTCCTCCATCAGCCGAACCACCAATCCAGTTACTCTGCCGTCCAGAATCAGTTCTGTGCCGCCTGCACCTGAGTTTTCAGAAGAAGGCAGAACGACGTGAGTGGATGGGCCGCGGGTGGGAGCAGGACGCAGAGAGGAACTTGTTTGAGTGGCAGTGCCACCATCGTGCGAGGCAACACCCCCAGAACCAGCAGCAGCGTCAGTGACATCATCTCCAGACACCTTCTCAAACACAACCCGTGCACTCTGTCTCTCCATCCCCTGCCGTCCCACTCCAACCCGCCCCCTGGACCTCTGCGGACTCACGCCCAGCGCACCAGTGGCCAGTACTGCCGGCGACAGCAGGGCGTCAGTAGTGGGTGGGGGAGAGTTGAAGGGTGAGGAGGCAGCGGAGGAGAAGGAGCTAGAGGGGCTCTCAAAGGGTGAGAGGTCTGCAGAGGGGTGTGTTCCCATGAGCCCACTTCCCCCCTCCCTGCCCTGGGAGTGGTGTCTCTTGCTTCCTCCGCTGCCTGGCAGGGCGGAGAAGGGAGAGGGGGGAGTGGGGGTGGAGAGGGAGGAGGAGAAGGCTAGTAGGGCGAGGAGCGTGGGTTGGAAGGCAGTGAGGTGGAGGGAGGAGAGGTGGAAGGAGAGGGAAGTGGAGTCGCGAGATGGGGCGGTCAGCGACCTTGATTTCAGACACAATTCCACACGCAACACACACTCCCCTGCTCCTGCCCCATCTCCTCCCACTGCTGCTCCTGATGTGGCTGGGGCAGATACGCCTGCCAAGCGTACATTCTCTCCTCCCAGCCAATGAGAAGTGCTGGCGGAATTTCCTGCTGAGGATTGGCCACCACTCAGTGCTCCACCACTCAGTGCTGCTCCCATGGGAGCCGCTGCCTGGCCAGCAGTTGGTATGGCAGGCATGGGCAGCGAGGAGAAGGAGAGGCAAGCGGGGAGTGAGGGGGCGGAAAGGACGCGGGAGACGAGCATATGGGGAGCCGAGGGGTCTGTTTGGGTGGAGAAACCTGAGAGAATTTGTGGGGAGAGCCAGAGTTGTGCTGATGGGTTAGGCTGGAAGGAGAGAGAGGGGGAGGAGAGGATGGAGTGGGTTAGAGAGGCAGGTGTGGGAGGGTGTGATGTGGTTACGGTAGGGGAACTGGCTGGGTTGGGCGAGGAGGGAAGGTGCGTTTGAATGATGTGGTGGGTGGGGCAGGAGGGGGGTCGCGAGGAATCGGTGAGTTGGAGGCGGTGCAGAGTGGCATAGATGTGCTCCTCCAGTAGTCTTTGGACCAGGCTGTAGGGCTCATGGCAGCGCACAGACGCACAGGGCACATGCACACACATGCACACACATGCACGCACGCACCAACACACGCATGAAAACACACACAAACCAACCATTTGCACAGTCGGACACAACAACTGAGACGGAAAAAACTAGCCGCAATACGTGGAGGCAGGATGCAAGGTACAATGAGAGCATTCACTCACCGGACGTCCAGTCCAGTAGCCTCAAGAGTGATCACGTGGGCTCCTGATGCTTCCCCGTTTGCGGGCCCCCTGCTTTGCCCAGCCCTGCTGCGCTTGCTGCTGGAACCAAGAGGCTCTGTCGAAGAGGCACTCATGTCCAGGCGCACTGTGATTTTCCCTACAGCCACTCCTACATCTGAAATTGGCGTGCCTGTTAGTACGTCCATGCCACTCGCCACTGCCACCCGCCGTGACTGCACCCGACTTATCCCCCCTGTTCCTAATTCTGCTTTCCCATCTCTGCTGCTGCTGCCACCCTCATTCACAGCCCCGCTTCCGTCCCCGCCAGCCTCATGCTGCTGCTGCTGCTGCTGCTGTTCCAGTAGCAGCAGAGGAAGCCTGGTGTTGTCTAGATCGGGTGAGGCCAGCAGCTGCTGTGGCACCTTGGCAGCGTCGCGCTGCAGAATGGTGTGAAGCATCTCGGACCAGGACGGTGTGGATGTCAGCCCCCCACTGCCACTCCTTACACCGCCCCCATTTCCTGCCTCGCCTGCAGTCCCCCTCCTTGCACCTTGACCCCCCATTCCTCCTTGCAGCTGGCCCACGCGATGTGGGACAGCTATGGGCCCTGAGGCAGGCAGAGGGTTGTTGCTGCTGGTGGGGGCAGCGTGGGGAGGGGTTTGGGAGGATGAGGCGGTGGGAGGGAAGAGGATAGCGGAGGAGGATGGCTGGTGTGCTGGTTTAGGAGGCGGGGAGGATGGGGGTGGCGTGAGGGAGGAGAGGATGGAGAGGAGGAGGCGGAGGTTGGTGAGGGAGAGGATGATGGAGATGTGCGGAATGCTGCCTTGCACCTGCAGAGAGGAAGGGAACAGCGAGGGTGACATCAGAAGGAAGATAGAAGCAAGGAGCTGAGACTGGAGGAACAGGACGCGGAAGGTGAAGGGCTGTGCTGCAGGGGAATGAGAGTGAGGTGGAAAGGTGGTGAAGTGGAGTAAAGTGGGAAGGAGGGCAGCACTCACAACAGCTTTGGTGGTGGCAGGGTCGCCTGAGAGAGCGCAGAGCAGCAGGTGCAGGTGGACAGAAAACTCCTCCACAAGAGGCAGCTCCCTGCCACTCTCACTGCCACCCTCCCCTGCACTGCCCGCTCCTGCCATGCTGCTGCCACCACCACCGCCCATCCACATGTTCCCTGGTGCCCCCAGTGCACCTGGGGGCAGGCCAGGCCAGAAGGAGTGGGGGACTGGTGGGGCTGGTGGCGTGGGTAGTGCAGTGCGAGGGGGCGGTGGAACGAGAAATACCTGTGAGGAAGGGGCAGGCAGGGGGCAGCAGAGGGAGTGCGAGAGGGACTTGGAGAAGGGCGGAACGGCAGGCACACAGTACGGGACACAAAGGGAGTGAAGGGAAGGGACGAGAGCAGAAGAGATGGGAGGAGCGACGGACCTTGACAGCAGCGGCTCTAACTGCGACACTGTCAAATAGCACCATCTTCTGAACCCACTCGGCCATGCCTCTCTTCCCAACGCCTCCCGTTCTCCCCCCTCCCATCCGTCCATCCGCATGCCCAACATCTATACCACTGCCTGTGCCTCCTTCCATACCGCCATCGCCCACTCCTCCCTTCCTCTCTCCCTCCATGTCCATTCTTCCATCTCCCTCCACTTCAACTCCTCCCACTGCCGGTCCCTGACTTTCTACCCTTCTCACGCCAGCATCTCTCCCCCCTGTCAGGCCCCTCTCCCCCAGGACGGAGAGTGCCGATCGCAGGTTGCCTGAGGAGGCGAGGGCTTGTGCAAGGAGAGACCGCTCAGGGGGTTCAGGGATGGACGAGATGTGCAGTGACGCCAGCTGTAGCACCTGCACTCCTCCAGGGGACGGGGGGTGCGAGAAGGGCAGGGGAAGGGGATGAGGATATATGAGGGGTTGAAGAAAGAAGAGAAGAGAGTAAGGGGCAGGGGTGTGAACATAAGATTTCCGAATGAACCTATGCAGGCACATGAGAAACACATAGTAGCTCGGAGTAGCTTCTGCCAGTTTCAGGGAGCACTCACCAAAGGCCGCTCTCTGGCCTTGGCACCACAGCAATCAAGCTTACCAGCAGGGGGCAGGGGCGGGCAGAGAGGTACGTGTCAGTGTGTGGAACAACGATCGTGACGCTTGCCACGTCCACATGCAGATGCAGCACCTTGCGCGCGGCTAGCACCAGGCTGGCGGGAGAAGTGACATAAAAAGAGGGGCAGAGAGAGAGAACCAGTAGGGATGAAGGGCAGGAAGAGCAGAGGAATGAACGGATTGCTGTAGTGCAGAGCTCCAAGCTTTCTCGAGATGGAAAGGGAATGGTTGAGTTGAATGAGTGCAGCTCACCCAGACTTGGCAGTGGCTCGAGCAGTAGTTGAGTCCAACGAGTTGATGGACGCAATCACCTGACGCCATGCCATGGCAGGACATAGGGTAGGGTGACACGGCATGGGTGGCGGAAACAGGATCTTGTGATGGAAAAACGATACACACCATGACTGTCCTTTCGTGGCGAGGGATGTGGCCAGAACTGACTCATTACTCACCTGTTCTTGGTGGGTGGGCACGGTCGTGGGATGGCTGAAGAACATGCCCACGCGCTTCAACACCTCCACACCCACCACCGCCTGCACTGGCTCCACTGCCACCTGCCGTCACGGAAAAATATGTGTGGCAGGGCATGCAGACGGCAAGCAAGGAGAGAGACTGTGGGAGTGTGACAGGAGGTGGTAGTGACAGGAGGCAGAAGGGTTGAGAATTGAATTGAGAGCAGGTAACTGATAAGAGGCAGAGGGCTCACCGATATTGTCGTCTCCATCTCATTGGGCGCACTGTCTTCCACCTCGCCTCCTCCCACTCCACCATCTCCGTGCCCATGCCCATGCCCATGAGAATGGGGCGAGTGCACTTCGATTTCCACCCGCAGCATCGGTCTTGCCGCTACAGCTTGCATCTGCCCCCCTGGCCTCCACCCATGCACCTCACTCTCACCCCCATAGCCCCTCTCTCCCATCTCGGCCCCTCCTCCCATGCCTCTCTCCCCTCCACCACCCATAGCAACCGCATGCTCTGCTGCAGCAATGGCACCGATACCTAGAGCTGACTGATTACGTCGCATGTTCGCCCACCCTCCATTGCCCACCCCCATGCCCATGCCCATGTGCGCAGAACTATACCCATACCCTGCCAGAGGCGCATGGGCATGGGGATAGGCATGTGACCCTGGGTACCCAATCCCAGCTCCTGCTCCCAGCAGCATACCCAGCCTCCCATCCGCCCCCACCCCCACTCCCAGACCCACGCGAGAGTCTGTACGTGGTAACATCTGCCCCTTCCCCCCGCCCCCTACAGGACCCCCCAGGCCCGCCCCCAGGGCTGGGCGGCCCAGGCCCCAGGCAGCACTGGCAGAACGCATTAGCAGATGGCCGTGGCCGGCAGGGGAGGGAGAGGAGACGGTGGAGGGCGAGGCGAAGGAAGAGGCTGCGGAGTGGAAGGAGGGGTGTGACGGGTGGGATGGAGGGAGGAAGTCGTGCAGCGAGGAGTGCGGGAGCTGCAGGGAGGGAGATGGTGGGTGACAGTGAGAGGGAGAGAGACAGGTGAGGAGTAAAACACGCGCATTAACTCTGGGCACTGCAGTTAAGTTGCAAAAGGTCCATGGGGGCACAGGCACAGAGAAGCTTACCAGTGGAAAGAGGATCCTGACGGCCTCATCCTCCTGAGAGGAGGATGGAGAGATTCTACTCCTTTCACTGCTTACGCCTCCTCCCATGCCTACACCCGTTCGCATGCCCTGAGAACCTGGTCCAGCAAACGAAGCAGAAGCGTCAAGTGTGCCCTTTGCAGCTCCTGAGGTGCTCCAGAGGTCAAAGGCTTCGAGAGAGGAGAGATTGAGGGAGAGAGAGGAAGAGCTGGTCCACACCCGCGAGTTGAGCAGCAGGCCTCGCAGCTTGAGGCTCAGTATGTCCCGTCGGGAATATCTGGCGGGGAGGGCAGAGAACGGAAAGAGCAGCAGGAAGAGGGGAGGAGCTAAACCGTTGTTGTGCTAATAGGGAGCATTTCAAGCGGGAGCGGGAGAGAAATGAACTAAGTGGTTCAAGGCCTGCTTGTCGGCATGAGGGAGAGGCAAGTGAGGATGCATGCGCTGAGGTGGTGGGGGAAGAAGAAGGCACACTCACGAGCTGCGCAGGGAGGCATGACCGTCTGCCACCTGTGCAGTGAACGCCAGGCGGCACACCGACACTGCTGCCCTGCCATGAGTCGTCCTATGAGACGCCTCAGGGAGCATTCGGCTGGAGGGCCCCATCACACTGGAGTCCTCGGGAATGGAGGCGTCGAGCGACGAGGAGGATTCTGAGAATGAAAGGGTATGCACAGAGGAGCGGCTCCTGTTCATGGCTTTGGTTGCTGCTGACGTGGCATCCATGGCCATAGATGCCGATGATGACGTGGATGCTGATGTAGACATCCAGGAAGGCTCATCCAGCCCGTTATCCCCGTCAGCAGCATCAAAGGGCGAGTCCAGTGTGCGATAGAGCTCCTCTAAGTCACGGTCACTGACTGCAGCCATGACGTCAGCTGCAGCAGACGCATCAGAGCCACCAGCGCCCAGCATGCCCTGAGACAGCCAGTTCAACCACCCCCTCCCCCTCTGCTGCTGCTTCTGCTGGGCTGCTTTGCCCTTGTGCCGGTCCCCTCGCCCGTCTTTCTCTGCAGAAGAATCTTCAGCTGAGTCTTTTGAAGCGGATGGGTTGCCCCATTCTGTGCGGGCAGCCCGCTGCAGAAAGCAGTTAGGAATGGAAGAAGACAATAGAGGGGGGAGGGGTGGGCGAAGAAACAATGTCAGTTGAGGAGCAAGAAATGGCTGGAGAGGCAGAAAGGGGAAAATGAGCAAGTCATGCGTGCAGCAGCATGGCACACAGTCATGCATCTGGAGGTGAGCGGTGCAGGCCGGAGGCGAGCGGTGCAGGCCGGAGGCGAGCGGTGCAGGCCGGAGGCGAGCGGTGCACTGAGGAAGAAGGCACGACACACCTGGGCGGCAGCTGTCCGGAATAGGAGAATGTCCTCTAGCTCCAGCTCGTCCTCCATCTCCTCCAGCTGCTGCCTCTCCTCCACCTGCAGTCACAAACACACACGCACACACACACACACACACACACACACGCACACACACACACACACACACGCACACACACACACACACACACACATGTACATACTAAAAGTATATGTATACATACATAAGAGCAAAACAAAAAAAAACGTGGACAAAGACGCAGCAAGTACAAGTCAGCGCTTTCACAAGGAGGAACGTGCTCACAGGGAGGTCTTGCAACAATTCCAGCTTCCTTTTGTACAAGGCCGCGTATTGCCGTCGCTTTGCCCTGGTGTCGTGGTAACAATGGTGGGGTTGGAGCAAGGAAGGAAAGGAGGAGTGTGTTAAGAGCGCAAACACGAAAGGGGAGAGAGAACAAGAGCAGAAAGTACCCGAAAGCAGATGAGTGGTTTACCAGGGAAGTCAAGGGGGCGAGCAGGCATCTGGTGTGGAAGAAAGGGTTCAGGAAGGGTGCAGAGGCATAAACGGTTGGAGAGGAAGGGACGTACAGGCGGGAGGGGAGGTAGAGGAAGGAGCGGCGGTAGAGGCGTTGGCGCACATCAAAGAGCACGGCATTGAGCGCGTATGACCACAATGCGCGCACTCTCTCGCTGCCACCGCTGGTGCTTCCGCCCTGCTGGTCCCCCATGCTGTCGGCTGGTTTGGTGCCACTGGTTGGTGGGGTCTGGGAGGAAGAGAACAAGGCTGCGGGGCGAAAGCGGCCATACCTGCAGTGGGACAGTTAAGCACACGAGAAAGGTGAAGTGGCAGCAGACAAAAGAGGGTGTGAGAACATGCAGCACACAGAGAGACGTGTGGTAAGTGGCAATGCGTATATGAGACACAGAGAGACGTGTGGTAAGTGGCAATGCGTATATGAGACACAGAGAGACGTGTGGTAAGTGGCAATGCGTATATGAGACACAGAGAGACGTGTGGTAAGTGGCAATGCGTATATGAGACACAGAGAGACGTGTGGTAAGTGGCAATGCGTATATGAGACACAGAGAGACGTGTGGTAAGTGGCATTGCGTATATGAGACACAGAGAGACGTGTGGTAAGTGGCATTGCGTATATGAGACACAGAGAGACGTGTGGTAAGTGGCATTGCGTATGCGTATATGGTGACACAGGGATGCAGAAGAAGGACCTTTCTCTGAGGCGCAGCACGTTGAGGGCATCGGCCAGCAGCAGCACGTCCTGGTACTGGTGCTCCTCCAGAGACACTCGCTGGCACAGAGAGGGGGAGAAAGTTGGGAGGTAAGATTTGTATTAGGGGAATGGGCTATAAGGCATGCGCAATATATCAGGAAGATTAGAAGGAATTGCTGTACCCAGAATATCTAGAACGAGAAGCATCAGGCACTTGCCAGGTGGTTGTGGTAGCACATCAGATCAGGTGATTCTGACATACCAGGCGGTTGCAACGGAGAGAGACAGACACGGGAGCAGTGCTTGTGTGGGCGGGAGGGCCCATATGCATCTGGAGGGAGGAAAAGGAATGGAACAGAACAGGGGTAGAAGGACAACAGCACAAGATAGTGATGGTGGAAACCGAGAGAGGTGGTGAGGTGAGAGGTGACAAGGGGGTTGCTGCAACAAGAAGCAGATGACAGGGTAGAAGACCAACAGTAAGTGCATGAAGTTCGATGCCACATGCACTTGTGGATCACCTTTGTCATCGCCACATGCGACAAAACTGTTTCCACATGTCAGCAGCTTATGCTTGCATGGTCACATAGCCATGCTTTATGATCCATGAACCATGACGCCATAAAACACAAGTCATTATGCATGCCGTACCACGAGTCTGATAGAAGCATCCAAGGGATGCAACATGTTGTTCGCCACTGCTGCCGAACCTTCCTCTCCCTTGCCTCTCCCTTGCTCCCTTCCTCTTCCCCTCTGCTCATCCACCCCTCTTCGCCTCTGTCTCTTGGCACCCATCCCTCCACCCTCCTCCTCATCACTTGGAACCAACTCACCCTCTCCCCACACTATGTCCGCATCCATGCTCTCCTCCCCTCCCCTCTCTCCTGAACCATCCCTCACTGCTCCTTCCCGCCTCCATCTCTCTCCACCTTCTGTCCCTTCCTTCCCTGTCCTCTCCCCACCTCCCTGTCCATTAGGCCCGAAAGTGCTCCCTTCGAACCCTCTCTTGCACGAATTCCAGTAAAACGACAACCCCCGCACCTCAATGCTCTTCCTCAAATTTCTCCCTGTCCCTCCGTTCCTGCCCGCGTCCCCTATCTGTGGCTTCCCCTGCCCCCCTGCCTGCCCCTGCCCAGCCTCTTGCTCCCACTGCTGCTCCAGAAGCTTCTCTGTGGGAGTCTGGCTGTCTGGCGGCACAAAGAAGGAAGCAGTCGACCCAGGCCCACCACCAGGGCCACCTGCCGCAGGAGTTGTGTTGAGAGCAGAGGCGGATGCAGAAGCAATGGCATCTGCAGCAGCAGCAGCAGCAGCAGCAGCAGCAGCAGTGAGGGGGTCCTTGGAGGCAGCAGCGGCCACAGAGAGATGGTCCAGGTGAAGGCCAAACTCAAACGCCGCCTGCATGGGCACAGAGGTGAGTACGACAGTGATTGGAGAGGAAGTGCGGGAGAGCAGAGCATGAGAATGAGGACAGATGAGATGACTCCAGCAAAGCAGTCGGATGCGGTGCTCAAGAAACAGACAGGTAGCTAATGAGATGACAGTGTAAGCGGCATGGAAGGTAGGGTGCAAACAGCAAACAAAACTGGAGCACGAACCTTGGGGTCGGAGGAGGAGTGTGTGTACTTGACGTGCACGGATGTCACCAGCACCTCCAGAGCGTTCAATCCCTGCCATGATGCAGGTAAAGCAGGTGATGCAGGTGATGCGGGCACGTGATGCAGATGATGTGGGACATCTAGGTAGGACACACACGCTGTGAGCAAAGAAATACAAAGATTATCATGCTATTAATAGTTCGGTGTGAATTGCGGACTAACGGTGTAAGAGGGAGGCACATTACAACGGCTGAGAAGTATGAGAGTGCTGACGCCCCGACACCATTGCCTGGGAGCAAACAGCGATGCAGTAACAGGGAAGAGAAGAAACGGGAGAGCACATGATTGCAAACAAATCATTGCTGAGGCTCTCTCTACTCATCAAGCAATGACGTGGCAACAAAGGATGAGGTGTTTCACCCTACACAAAGCTCCCCAACCTAACCTTTTTCTCACGTCATCGCAGCCTGCCTGCCCTCACATCACCTCACCCTGCTCAGACATCTTCACCACCTCGGCTGCAGCCAGCGCTGCCCTCTTGGCGGCTCTCTCTCTCACCACTGCCGGACCCTCCGACCACTGCACAGTGCACACAGCCGGGCAGGGAAGCACAAGGTGACGAAGGAGGGAATAACAGGTAGTAGTACTAGAGCGGTGGCCAAAAATTATCAACGACAAGGACGAAAGCAGGGGAAGGGCGAAGCAAAGTGATTCAACAGCTCCACGAAGGTCCAGGATTTAGGGTTTAGGAACTGCGAGGGAAGTGCAGAAGCAAGGAGCCAGTACTCCCACGGACACACCTCATGGTCAGCCCTTGGTGCCATCACTATAAGCACGTCGCTGATAGTCACAGACACGCATGGTTCTCGGCCCAGCCTTTTCATGGACAGCTGCAGGCTGAGACTACCGATCTTCCCTGCAACCACACAAAAGGAAATCGCAGACTCCAGCAGCTTAGCAGAGAAGCTATTATTGGATAAAAGGTATATATGAACCAATCGATGAAGTTTTACAGATTGAGGAAGTTTTTGTGAACTTAGATGCCCCAGAGCAATGAGATGGCATGCGAACTGAAGTGCAACGCCGTCATGGAAGCTATGACAGATATATACCATGGTGGATCGAAAATGGCAGCTGAAGGTGGTCGAATGCTGCTGTGTTGATCTCCAGGTCGTTTAGTCTTACCACCCCTGTTCAAGCAGCAGAAGTCAAACACTTCTGATAGAATTAACTGTAAAGTCGGACGATTGGATTTTGAAGTCAGACGACTGGATTGAACATGAAGGCATTGCGTCTGAAGGCACACAACCGGTTTGATTCTGAAACCAGACGACAGGATAGCTTCTGAAGCCAGACAGGTGAAACAGGTTTGAAGTCGGGCGACTAGATTGCTTTTGACGGAAGCCAGCTGGTTTGATATTCCAGAGTCTCAACTGATCCTGAAGCGAGACAACTGGATGGTCTCCAAAGCAGCGACTAGATTGTTCTCAAAACCAGGATTGGTTGTGAAGTCGGACGACTGAATTCCAACTCAGTGACATAATTGAACCTGAAGGCTGCAATGTCAGAACGAGGACACCTGAATTCATCCTGAGGTCAGACAGCTCGATCATCCTGAGCCAGGCGACGGAATTGCTTGTGAAGGCAGACGACTCAGGTGATTCTGAAGACACGCTGCTGGATTGCATCTAACGGCTGTCAACCTTTCATATTCCGAAGTGAAACAACTGATATTCGACAAGGGCCATGAAATTCGCTCATACAAGTATGTTCATGAACTGACTATGCAGCGACCTGGAATGAGGCAGAAAGGGATGTTAATCACGGTCAAACTGCTTCGTAAGCAAGACATTAAGTTCGTGAGACTCACGTCGCCATACTCCGATTCGGAGCTGCTCCTTGTGGAAGTTCTTGAGGTAATGCGAGAGGTAACCTCCCACCAGCGAGAACACGAGACTTTCCAACATTGCGCCGGGTTTCTTTGCAGTCAGATTCGGCCCGAAAGTTAAGTCATGGTGACGATGGTTGCGAATGTCAGGCGATTATCGGCAAGGACATGGTCATCACGGACAGCAGACGCAAAGCTTCAAGAGGTTCCTGACCAGGAGATGTCAATGCTGTGCTGCTCATGTGACAAGAAATTGGTCTGGTCATGGCTACCATTGACGCTAATATTCAGGGGTCGAGCCTTGATCAACTCGATTAAATGACATATCGCCACTTGATAATAAAGGCTACACTCCATTCACGTGAATGCAATATGAGCACCACTATTTTCCATGCATATCTTCTTCAAGAGAGACGTTGCAAGGCATCAAATCAGACGGTTCATACAACTCATATTTTTACTTGCATTTATAGAGTATGAACATGTGCAGTCGGATAGATACAACCATCAGTAATGGCATTTGAAATAGTGTCATGTATGCATCTGGGACGTGGTGCATGTGAGCTGCTGCTACGTACCTTGTTTCAATGTCTTGCAGCTTAGCTTGTTTCAGCCACTATGTTCTGTTCTATGATTGAATACAGTAGTGTGCATTTACTCTGTATGCCCTTATTCAAATGTGATTATTCGAATGTGTTGACGTCACACTTGGGTTCTGGCCACCTGGACTTACAGGCAGAGTTCAGATTGCCATGACCCGATAAACCAATTACTTCGTGCCAACTCAGGCCCCTATCATCTGGTTCATTCCCGAATCGTCGCAAATGTCTACTTTTTCTGGGGCGAACTGTGCTTGGAAGGGGCGTGACTGAACCGACACTCCCTGGACCCTTGGAGTCTGATTCACCAACGCATCACAGCAGCACAGGCACTGAGCTCCCTAAGAGCAACACCACCACGCTCAGTCGTTATCTTTCAGATACACCTCGTGAGACAACCAAGTGAGGTGTCTCTCCCTGAAGCTTAGCCAGTTCGTTCGAAAGTCATTTTAGCCATGGCTGCCGTGACTTGCCCTTCGGCTACCGTGTCGCGCGCTTCCCTCGCGCCGGCGTCCCTTTCGGGCGTGTCTAGCCGCAAGAATGTGAGCTTCTCTAGCTTCACCCCGAAGGCCAACTTCGGCGTGAAGGCAGCCGCTGGACGGGTGACGATGGAGGTCGTTAAGGACAAGCCCAGAGACGGGTCCAAGGAGCCGTCCAAGGAGACTCTCCTCACTCCCCGCTTCTACACCACCGACTTCGACGAAATGGAGAGGGTAAATTTCACGACCCTCGACGCTACATCGTATCGCTTTAGCTCGAACCACAGCCCAGGGCCGAGAAGAGCGTATCATAACAGGGATCTCGCTACGAGATATCGACTTTGCCATCAGCATTAGACATAAAATTGATTATTTTATTCCTTTCCCCGCCCGTCTCCAGCTGTTCAACAGGGACATCAACCCGTACCTGAACCAGGCGGAGTTCGATGCGTGCCTGGAGGAGTTCAAGGCCGACTACAACCAGACGCACTTCGTCAGGACGCCCGAGTTCAAGGCTGCCGCCGACAAGATCCAGGGCCCCGCCAGGGAGATCTTCGTTGAGTTCCTCGAGCGGTCGTGCACAGCCGAGTTCTCCGGCTTCCTGCTCTACAAGGAGCTCGGCCGTCGCCTCAAGGTGCGTGTGCATTCTTGAACCTTTTCCAACATGACAGATTTTGCCCACATTCCAGCCCTGAGCATTTTTGGCGATTGAAGCGTTCTTTTCTAACTGCGGTCGGCTTTTCGTTTGCAGAAAACCAACCCCTGCATCGCTGAGATCTTCACCCTGATGTCCCGCGACGAGGCCCGGCATGCCGGGTAAGTCCACCCACACGCATCTTCTTCTCCCCTTCGTCCCCGCGAATCGCAATTTCAGTGACCTAAAAACGTTATTTCTCTCTGTCTGCTGTTTGCAGTTTCCTGAACAAGGCTCTGTCTGACTTCAACCTGTCCCTGGACCTGGGTTTCCTGACTAAGGCGCGCAAGTACACCTTCTTCAAGCCCCAGTACATCCTGTACGCTACGTATCTGTCGGAGAAGATCGGCTACTGGCGCTACATCACCATCTGGCGCCACCTGGCCCAGAACCCGGAGTACCAGTGCTACCCCATCTTCCAGAAGTTCGAGAACTGGTGCCAAGACGAGAACCGCCACGGTGACTTCTTCACCGCCATGCTCAAGTGCTACCCTAAGTTCCTTCAGGACTGGAGCTCCAAGCTCTGGGCGCGCTTCTTCTGCCTCTCGGTAAGTCCAATGCTGATCCAAATATGCCACCCTCCACCCTGCTATTGTCACTGAGCTTTTGTGCGTCATTCGTTTCAGATATCTCCTAGCGCTGTTGGTCGTTCTTGGCTTAATGCTGAATTTATCCTTGCTCTTTCGCAGGTGTACGTGACGATGTACCTGAACGACCACCAGCGCACGGCGTTCTACGAGGGTCTGGGCCTCAACACAAAGCAGTTCAACATGCACGTGATCATCGAGACGAACAAGACCACGGCGCGCATCTTCCCCGCCGTGCTTGACGTCGAGAACCCCGAGTTCCAGCGCCGCCTTGATGTGCTCGTGGGTCTCAACCAGAAGCTCGTTGACATTGGCAAGAGCGACGCCCCTGATGCTCTGAAGAATGTGCAGCGGTTCCCCGTCCTGGCGTCGTTTATTGGCGAGCTGCTCGCGCTCTATTTCATGCGGCCTGTGGACTCTGGGTCCGTCGACTTCATTGACAACGAGGCCCAGGTTGTGTACTAAGCGCTGATGGTTTGACTATAGGAGGTTTGCTGCTGCTGCCTGTCTTGTACATGTGGAATACCATGAATTAATGAAGCATTTTTCTAAATGTGTGTGTAAGATGCCTGGAAGGATGTACCGTATTCTCCCGGATAAAACACCCCCCTGTAATTGTATACCCCCGGGTAGCTAATACGGGGTGGGTGTTATATCCGACCCCGTTAGTACTATACCCCCCTTTTGGGGTGATTCTCTATAACACCCCCCTTTTCTTATAGATTCCTATTATAGCTGTCTTCTTACGGGAGGATATCGCGAAAATCACTCCTTAGAAGAAATTTCGCATGTACTTTCACTTAGAATCAGCCGAGTTATCCCCCCTCCCACAATCTCGCTGTCGCCACGCTGGTGAATCCCAAAATCTCGCTGTCGCCACGCTGGCGAATCTTCCACTGCAAGTGGTCCAAGAGGTGAAGTGGCCCAAGTGGCCCACAATATCCTCGTACTCGGTTTTGCGGCATTGATCAACAATCTTTAACTGAAGTCAGACCCCTGATTTTGTTTCACATCTATCTGTTATATAAAAATATACCATATCATAAGACCCGGGTATTATATAGGATTTTCCTCTGAGGAGACCCCCCCCATTTTTTTCCAGTGGTTTTCATAATACCCTAGGGTGTTTTATCCGGGAGAATACGGTTAGCTGCTTGTCTTCTGTCCACGATGCTAGCCCTGAAGTGCCAGTATCTTCAGAGCAAGAGAGTGGAGTATATGGTAGTACCGTCACTAGCACCTCTTCATGGACACCGCTGTGTCTCCTGAGGATTAACTGGTAGCAAGATTACCGTACAATGCTTTCCCAGCCAACTGACTGTCACACCAAAAAAGGCAACCACCTAACTCAAATCTGCAACTCAGAAACGAAGTGCTTGACTGTGTATGATAGTGATTGATGTGTAAAATCTGTACAGCTACAGCCCACCAAATCACCTAAACGTCCTATCATTCTCATCCTGATTGGTCAGATGCAACCTTGAAGCAGCAGCTCTAGTCAGCCGCATGTCAGGCGAAACAGCAGCGTCCCGCTGCTTGGCAACAAAATCACCAAACACACGCAAGGGCAGCTCACGGGGAGCGGCCAGTCGCCTCCTCTGATACATCAGTGTCGTGGGTGACGGGGCCAATGGGGAACACAAGGGCGAGGTGCCTGTGGTGGAAGGCGATGGTAACGTGCTGATGCTTGGAGGTGGTAACCAGGTTGCCTCCCTTGGGATTGCCGCTGGTGTGGTGGAGGGTGTGAGGGCGGGCCAGGAGGACTTGGAGGAGGAAGTGAGGAGGTCGATGGCAATGGGTGGCCTTGTTGTTTGCTGCTCCTGCTCCTTTGCAACCTCCACCGCCGCTGCATCTGGAGCTCTCTCTGGTGTACTGACTGACTTGCCTGCTGCTGCTGCTGTTACTGCTGTTACTTCTGGTGCTTCTGTGGCTGATGGTGCAGCCGCAGCTCCTTCTATTGCTGGGAGAGGAGGTAACGGAAAATTCCCTGGAGCAGAGGCGGCAACATCCGAGGAAGCAGAGGGAGCAGCTTGCATGAGGGTAGGGATGATAGGCGTGTGAGAGGCTTCTGCAGGCAATGCAAGTTCCAGCTTCACCTCCTCCGTGTGAATCCCTGTGCCTGCTCCTGCTGCTGCTCCTTTCTGCTCTGCTGCCTCTCCCTTCTCTGCTGCAACCTCTTGAATGCTTGCATCTGCAAGACTGGGCCCTACTCGCACTGTGTCCAACTGGCCATCATGTCCCTTGCCCATCGCTCTCTCCTCCCCTTCCCCCTCCACCTTCCCCATCACCTCCTCCTCCTTCACTTCCGCCCTCACCACCTGCAGATCTCTCCCTTCGTTCCCCCTCTCCACCTCCCTCTCCGCCTCTCTCTCACCCACTCCATCCAAGCGCCACGGGGAGGGTGGGGCGCCAGAGGGGGGGAGCAGCAGAGGGCCGGGGGACCACAGCAGTGTGGCGCGGGGGAGCGGTGTAGCTGCTGCTGAGTCGAATCCCCTGCTGCTCTCCTCTTCCCCGCCTTCCCTCCCCCGCTCCTCCCCCTGCACCTCCACAACATCTCCATCTTCTGACGCGTCAAGGCCTTGCGCACTCACACACCCCCTCCTCTCCCCCGCCCCCACCCCATTCAGGAACAGCACTCGCTTCTCTGCTCCGCTTGCCCCCCTGCTGCTGCTCTGCCCCTTCCCTCTCACCTCCCCCGTACCAGCAGCACCAGCACCAACCCCTCTTGCCACACCAGCAGCCGCCACCACCCCCACTCGCCGCCTTTGCTTCCCCTCACCACCACTCTCCACATTCCTCCCTCCCACCACCCCTTCCTCTGCCCTCTCCCCTCCCGCCTTCCCCTTCTCGCCCACCCCCCCTCCCGCCTTCCCCTTCTCGCCCTCCTCCCCTGCCCCCTGCCCTTCCAGCAGTCTGCTGCTGCGTCTCCTCCCCCCCACCTCAGCCAGCCCCAGCGGCCCATCATTGCCTGCAGACCCAGAGCGGCCCACAAGAGGAGAGAGGGAGAGCAGGCTCAGCCTCTCCAGCTTGAATGTCGACCGGTGGGCTGCTCCTCGCGCTGACAACCGGGCTGCCTGCTGCTGCTGCTGCTGCTGCTCCTCCTGCTGTTGATGCTGCCGGTCCTGCTCCTCCTCTTGCTCCTTGCGCTCCTGTCGTTGCTCCGCCCGCTGCTCTGGCTCCTCCAGCTCCTGCGGCTCCTCCTTCCCCGCCCACTGCACCTGCTGCTGGCTAACAGCTGAGACATCAAGCGCTGATACCTCATGACACGCGTTCTCTTCCAATGCAGAAACCGCTGCTGTGGGAACTCGTAGTTCTGCTAATGGTGCTGCTGCTGCTGCTGGTACTTCCGATGGTGCTTGTGTCGAAGCAGCTTGCCCCCCAACAAGCCTCTCCCCAGCTGCCAGCGAGGCAGCCTCAACCATGAGTTCGTCCTTCACACATGCCAGCAGCGACCGCTCTCGCGACACAGCCTCTGTGTGGCACACATGCATGTGAGACGCACGGCCCTCCGACCCATGTGTCTGTGCCACATGCCCGTGTGACCCACGCGTGAGCATGGCATGCCTGCAGCTGCCCTTATCCGTCCCCCCTACACTGCCTGATGCGGCCGCTCCCGCTGACACGCCATGGCTGCTGCTCCAGCTGTGCGAGGCAGAGAGAATCAAATCCACGCCACTGCTGCTCTCCATCTCGCCACTCCCTCCAGCGCCACTGGAATGCGCGCCATCTGCACCGCTCTCAACACCCTCGCAACCTGCTCCATTCCCTCCCACACCCCCCACTGCCCCCACATCCCCCATGTCTCCCATGTGCCCCACGCCTGTCATGCCAAAGTCACCATGCACCTCTCCCCTGCGCCCCATGTCATCATCCACTGGCCCTGTGTCCATGCTGCCCTCCCCCCCACTCTCACTGCACCCCCTCTCTCCCCTCCGCCGCTCCACCCTGCGCCGCTTGTACTGCGTCCCCCATATAGGCACTTTGGTCCGCCCCCCTAAAGGCATGGTATGCACACCCCCCTCTGCTGTTGCGACCACTGGAAGCACCGCTGCTGCTGCACCAGGCGTTAGCACTGCTGCAGGCGCTGCAGTTGCTGCTGCTGCTTCTCCTTCTCCCACCGCTCCTGCTGCCCCTGTTTCTGCCATCTCTGCTGCTCCAGCAGCATCTGGCTGCAACAGGGGCACATGCACGTCCCTACCACCACGCACCACTCTCCCTGCTGCTCCTCCCTCTGCCCCTACACCTGCCGTTGCTACAACCCCTGACACTGCAGCGTCCGCAATCATCCCTGCCTGTACCCCACCAACATATGACTGCAGCGGACCGCCAACAGCCAACACACCAGGTGTCTCTACCCCCACCGCTCTCCCTCTCTCTGCCAACCCCTCCTCTCCTCCACCTGCCTGTGCCAACAACCCCGCATCCCCCGCACCATTGAAACGCCCCTCCTCAGACCCACCCTCCCCAGCAGTCACCTCCCGGCCGCGATAAGCTATCAGCCGAGCTGCCCCCCCTGCTGCCCGCCACCCCTGCCGGCACGTGCGGTGGCTGGTGCGGGGAGAGTGAGCATGGGGCAGGGGTGACACAACCACTGCTGCTGACGCTGCTGCTGGCGCTGCTGCTGCTCTGGCAATCCCATTGCCTGTGGCGCCATCAGCAGCGATACAAAGTGCAGGGGGCGCTGCAGCAGAAGCAGAAGCAGAGGCAGCGACGACAACAGAGGAGCTGCTGCCTCGCCGCTTCTTCCGCACTCCGGTTGGTGTGCGAGTAGCGCTGCCAACACCACCATGATGCCACACCGCACCAGCGGTAGCACCAGCGGTAGCACCAGCAGCACCAGCAGCACCAGCAGTGCAAGCAGTACCGTCAGTGAGAGGCCAAGACAGCATGCCAGTCGCCCTGTGCGCCTGCTCCTCCTGCTGCTGCTGCTGCTGCTGCTGCTGCTGTGCAGCATCCACCCTCACCCCATCCACCCTCTCTCCAGAGAGTCTCTCTCCCACAGCGCGAGCCCGCCGAGTGGACTCAGATCGCCGCCTGCGGCACACAGCACTGGTGGGAACCCACTCCTCCTCCACCCCATACACCCACCCCTCGCCCCCCACCTGCGCACCCCCGCCCCTCCGCCTCCTCTCCTCCCCCGCCCCTCCCACCCCTCTTGCACCTCCTTCGTCCCCCTCGTCCGCCTCCTCCCCCTCACCTGCTCCGTCGTCCCCCGCACCCCTCACGCCCTGCAGCAGCCAAGAGGGTGACTTCACCGCTCGCCGCAACCGCATGCTCATCCCCCCCACCCCCCCCTCGCCCCCGCCACCCCCACCACCACCACCACCAGCACCACCACCACCACTGGCATCGTTACCAGCAACAGCAGCATTACCACCAGCAGTACCAGCAGCAGCAGCACCAGCAAGTGCCATACCATTCATGCCCCCATCCGCCCTGCTCTCCCTCCACCCGTTCCCTCTCTCCCTGTCCCGCCTCTTCCTCTTCCCCCTCCCCTCCGCCACCCCCCCTTCTCCCCCTGTGTCTGTCAATCCAGCCAAGCACCTCCTCCTCTTTCCCCCTACTCCCGCTCCCTCACCCTCCCCCTTCCCGCCACTGCTCGCCGCCCATATGAGGGGCACTGCGTGGGAGGACTGGCGCCAAGTAAGGTTGGGGGGGATGGAGGTGCCAGGGAGAAGCAGCCAGGGGAAGCTGAGGGGGAGAGGCGGGGGGAGGGGGGTCACTGTGGGGGAAGGAGGGGGGAGCGCGAGGGGGGATTGTGGGAAGGGGGATTGGTCAGTGGGCAGAAGTGATAAGGGATGGGGGAGCTGTAAAGGGGAGTGGGGAGGCGGAGGTAAATGGGAGGGGGACAGGGGCGCAGGAAGCATGGTAAGGACTGGGCTGGCTGGGGCTGGATGTGAGAGAGCAGGGTGCGGTGGGGAGGGGAGGGCCGGGGAGACAGCAGCAGGGCTGGGCAGAAGCACGGGGTGTTGCAGTGGCAAAGGCGAGGGGTCGTGCGACTTGTGGTGAGAGTTGTGGCATGAGTTGTCACAACGGCCAGCTGGTGTTAGTGCTCCTGCTGGCTCAGGTGCCATACTCTCTGGTGCCACACTCTCAAGAGCCACACCTTCAGGTGCCACACTCCCAGGTGCCACATCCGCAGGTGCCACATCCGCAGGTGCCACATCCGCAGGTGCCACATCCGCAGGTGCCACATCCGCAGGTGCCACATCCTCAGGTGCCACATCCTCAGGTGCCACATCCTCAGGTGCCACATCCTCAGGTGCCACATCCTCAGGTGCCACATCCTCAGGTGCCACATCCTCAGGTGCCACATCCTCAGGTGCCACACCCTCTGCTGCCACGCCCTCTGGTGCCACACCCTCTGCTGCCACGCCCTCTGCTGCCACGCCCTCTGCTGCCACACCCTCTGCTGCCACACCCTCTGCTGCCACGCCCTCTGCTGCCACGCCCTCTGCTGCCACGCCCTCTGCTGCCACACCCTCTGCTGCCACGCCCTCTGGTGCCACGCCCTCTGCTGCCACACCCTCTGCTGCCACGCCCTCTGGTGCCACGCCCTCTGCTGCCACGCCCTCTGGTGCATGAGCAGCAGAGAGCGAACGAGGAATGGGAGAGGAATCTCGAGCCCCACTGGCTGGTGCGAGCTGCAATGCACCCATGGCGCCCTCTGCTTCCCCTACCACCCCTTCGCCCACTCTCTCCCGCGCACCCTCCTCTCTGCCGGCCCCAATGGAATCACCATCTGCTACGCGCTCCTCTCCTTTCACTGCTGACTGGGGCCCTGTCATGGGGCGTGGTGGTGTGGAGGCAGCAGCAGCGGCTGCTATGTCTTCTTCTGCTGCTGCTGCTGCTGCTACTGTTGCTACTGCTTCTGCTGCTGGAACTGCAGCTGCTGCTCCTGCTGCTGTTAGTGCTGCTGCTGCTGCTGGTGCAGCTGCTGGTACTGTTGCTTCTGCTGCTGCCGTTTCTGGTACTGCTGCTACTGCTGCTACTTGTGCCGCTGGTATGGTTGCTTCTGCTGCTGGCGCTGCTCGTTCTGCTGCTGGTACTGCTGGTGTTGCTTCTGCTGCTTCTGCTGCTGCTCGTTCCGCTGCTGGTCCTACTACTGGTGCTGATGATGCTTCTGCTGCTGCTTCTGCTGCTGCTTCTGCTGCTGCTTCTGCTTCTGCTGCTGCTTCTGCTTCTGCTGCTTCTGCTGTTGGTACTGCTGCTGCCGTTTCTGCTGCTGCTTCTGGCTCTGCTGCTACGACCCCTGCCTCAAGCAGCAACACAGAGGCAGCATCTCCCGGCAGGGAGGCTGCAGGAATCGCCTCGAAAACAGTGGGAGTTGGCTCCGTGATTCCAAGAGGCGTGTGTGAGGCAGGTGTCATCTGAGAGGCAGGTGACATCTGAGAGGCAGGTGTCGTCTGGAAGGCAGGTGTCATCTGGGAGGCAGGTGTCATCTGGGAGGCAGGTGTCATCTGGGAGGCAGGTGTCATCTGGGAGGCAGGTGTCATCTGGGAGGCAGGTGTCATCTGGGAGGCAGGTGTCATCTGGGAGGCAGGTGTCATCTGGGAGGCAGGTGTCATCTGGGAGGCAGGTGTCATCTGGAGGCAGGTGTCATGAGAGGCTTGCAGTGTGCACGGCGTAGCATTGGGTGAAGGTTCAAAAGCACTGGGCGGCAACTGGAAAGCCAAAGGACGCTGCCCGATGGGCGGCAGGGAAAGCTCTGGCGGCGGTGTGTCAGGCACAGACCTCCACATAGCACCATCACCACTCTGAACCGTACTCAGCTCCATCCCTTCCCCATGCATCCCCTCTAGCAACAACTGCTCTGCCTCACCCATTGCATCCAACCCATCCCCCCCATCCATTGCACCCATCATACCCATCTCATCCACCGCATCTGCCCCTCCCATCTCACCCGCCCCGTCCTCCTCCACTGCCCCCACAATCACCTCCACAGGCACGGCGCGCCACATCTCCTCGATGCCAAACGTGCGCACCACCCGCTGCAGAGCTTCCGCGCTCACCCACACCCGCTCCCCTCCCACACGCACTCCTGCTCCTCCTGCCCCTGCTGCCCCTGCTGCCCCTGCTGCCCCTGCCGCCCGCCTCCCTGCTTCACCTCGCCCCCCTGCGGCTGCTGCTGCTGCTGAAGGTGTGCGCACTGGCTCTGCTGCCTCCCCACCCTCCGCCCCCTCACCTGCCTCACCTGCTTCTGCTGCTGCTCTGCCTGTCCGTGCTCCTGCTTCCACATCCACCATCCCTCCTTCGTCCTCCCCATCCCCACCTCTCCCACCAGTCCCACCAGGTGCCCCCTCCTCTTCCTCCTCTCCCCTTTCTCCCCCCTCTCCCCCCTCTTCCCCCTCTCCTCCCTCTCCCTCCTCTCCCTTCTCTCGCCCCAAATCCCCCGCCCCCTCACCCTCCTCCACCGCTCTGCACCGCCTCGCATCCTCCTCCACCTGAGCCCAATACGCAGCATCCAGAGGCCCCTCCACGCGTTCAGGGGCCTCAAGAGCGATCACCACCAGCATGGGCCCTCGCCGCCCCTCCTTGCCCCACTCCCTACTCGGCACCACTGCCTCACATTCGTCACCCATATTACTCATAATCCCTCCATTGCTCGTGTTGTTTGTGTTGCTCGTGATGTTTGTATTGGTAGCAACCATGTGACTCATGCCGCTTGCCTTGCTAGCCTTGCCCGCAGGAACCGTTTTGCTCATGTTGGTTGCTTTCACTGCTTTGCCTGCCTTGAGTTGCTTCTCCGCTCCCAACTCTGCCAGCCTAGGGGACTGCCGTGCTGCCTTTCTCTGCCCCTGCTGCTCACTCCACCGCTTCGCACCACTCCTAACCGCACCCGATGTTCCTTCACCCCTCCCCCGCAGTTGCCTCCCCTTCACATCCCCGTCTGCAGCCCTACTCTCTGGTTTCTCCTCATCCTCACACTCTACCCCTTTCTGTGCATTCTCTGTTGCTTCTCTCTCTGCACTTCCTTCGGCCTCCCTCTCCCCGTTCCCCTCTGCCTCCCCCTCAGTCATCTCCTCTGCTTTCAACTCAACTGCATCACCACCCGCCTCTGCTGCAGGTACAGCCCGCAGTGCCAGAGACACACACACAGGCGCAGCGGCTTCACCAGGCAGCGCAGCAGTCATGGCAGCAGGCAGGGCAGGGGCAGGCAACGCGGCAGGCAAATCAATGAGCAGGGCAGGGGCAGAGGGAACAAGCACACCAGTGGTACTAGAAGGCTCAGCTGTGAGAGGCACGAGCGTGCAGGGCTTTGCATCGTCAGCTGCTGCTGAGGACAACTGCTTGTACAGGTTGCTCACTGGCAGCGTGCGATGGTGACTGGAGCGCGGGTGACTGGCGCGATGGTGGCTAGAGCGATGGTGGTGGAGGTGGTGGTGGCCAGAGCGAGAGTGGCCGGAACGACGGGACCCACGGGGGAGACCGGGGGCAGCAGCAGCAGCAGCAGCGGCAGCTTTTGCAGTGGCGTCTGCAGCAGCAGCGTCAGCAGCGGCGCTGACAGCGAGAGCAGCAGCAGCAAGGTCGGAGCAGTACTGGTCAGAGAGGAAGGAGCAGGTGTCCTTGCACCATGGTGGTGCGTCCAAATATGCCTTCTCCACCCCCCACATCAGTGCACTAGCACCGGTGCTGCCAGGAGCAGCGGCGGCAGCAGCACCCTCCGCGCTGGCACTGGCAGCAGCGCTATACTCACCGGTGCCAGCAGCAGTGGCAGTTGCAGCACCGGTGCCTTCCTCTTGACCCTCCTCGTCCTCCCTTGCACCCACCCACTCCGCCCCTTCCCCACCCCACTGCAGCACGCGCCACGGCAGCCCCACATACCCCACCACCACACTCAACAGCTCCGCACCCGCTCCCACCTTTCCCAACCCCTCCAAATGCGCCAGCCGCTGCTTATGCCGCTGCCGCAGCACACTAGCCGGCCAGTTCTTGTATTTCACCAGTCGAATCTCCCCCTCTCCCCCCCGCCACCTCAGATCCTCCGGCAAAGGGTGGATTTTCAGGGGGAGGCGCACTCTCCCCCCTCCCTTATGGTGCTTCCCGGGAGAAATGGCGGGGAGTGGGGGAGTGTGAGGGGTGGGAGGGAGAGCAGAGTGACGGGCAGAGGGAGACGGGAGAGCTGGGCTTGGGGGGAGTGGAGGGGCGAGCGGGAGCATGTGCGGGCGCGGTGGGATGGGTTGCGGTTGAGAGTGGTGCGGGTCTGCTTCGAGCTTGAGCTTAACTTTGAGTTTCTTCACTCGCCTGTGCCCGTTCACTCCCTTAGACGCCCACATATGCTCCAAGACCAACCCCTCCCCCGCCCCTTCTTTCGCCCTCACCCCTCCCCCCTGTACCCCCAGCGCCTTACCCCTTAGGCTAAACTTCCCTCCCCGCCCCAGGCCCCTTCCTGCGCCCTTCCGTCCAGGCAGCATCAGCTTTCCCCCGCCCCTCCCCATCCCCCTCCTGCCCCCCAGTCTCCCCCCAACCACCGCCCCTGCCGCCCTCACCCCCCCCGGCCCCCCTGCTGCTGCTCCACCCGCCCCTCCCGCCCCTCTCCCTCCAGTCCCCAGCTTCCACTGCCCAGCCGGCCCAGCCATAAGCGGCGGCAGGGCGGCAGGGGCGGCAGCGGGCGGCAGGACCGGCAGCGCCTTTTCCAAAACAGCCGTCCCGGGGAAAACCAGCACGTCCAGCTGTAGCAGCTGCCGCCGCCCCTCCGCTGACATGTCAGCAAAGCCAAAGCCCTGGCGCCACGTGGCATCGGCCTCGGGGACAGCTGGCAGGAGGAACCTGCAAACGCCCAGGGAGGCGAGCAGGTGCTCTATCTGCTGCAGCAGGCGCCGGCACATGCCCTGGCGGCGGTAGCGGAAACGGGTTCCGATGAGGGGCATCTCTGCTAGCTCACAGCCGTACACCCTGTGAACACAGGCAGGGGGGGAGGAGGGATGAAGTAGGGCAAGGGGGAGATGAGGGGGTGGTACACGTGCAGTGCTGCTGCAGCAGGCGGCGGCACATGCCCTGGCGGCGGTAGCGGAAGCGCGTGCCTATGAGGGGCATCTCTGCTAACTCACAGCCGTACACCCTGAAGAGCACAGACAAGGGGGGGGTTGAAGGAGGCGGGGTGGAGGGCGGTGTGGGTGGGGACATGAGGGGTGAGAAAATGATGAAACGAACACAGCCTGCCTCGCTCGTACAATGCACAACACCAGAAATGGTGGCGGAGCGGCTTCAGCAGCCCGTCTGATGCTGGCAGCAGAGAACCCACTCCTCCAGCAAGGCCCCGGCAAATACAGGTGACCCAACCAACCCATGTGTGCATGCATGGAGTACAAAGGCTGAGGAGTCCCTGCGGCAGCTTACCTGATGCTAGCGGCAGTGATGGACTCCTTGCCCTGCTGCAGCACTGCCCTGTGGATGCAGGCTCCACTGACGATGCTAGCAGAAATGGGACCATGGCACCATGCGTGCAGCAGCTTACCTGATGCTGGCGGCGGTGATGGACTCCTTGCCCTGCTGCAGCACTGCAGTGTAGAACCCCGAATAGTCCCGATGCTTCGTGCTGCAGTGGGTGGGAGAGGGGGTGCACATGGGTGGAGAGGAGTGGGCAGGAGTGAAGAGGAGTGGAGCGAAACCTGAGGAGAAACGCCAGTGGATGAGGGAAAGGAGAGATTGTGCGGGTGCGGGTGCGGGTGACAAGGTCCCCTCCCCGCGGGTCACATGCACGAGCAGGAGGAGGAGCAGAGGGAGCAAGGGAGGGCACAGGGGAACGCACAAGGGAGGAAACAGAAAAGGGCCAAGGGGAGGGCACAGGGGAAGAGCAGCTAACCTCTTGCTGTGCACGATGATGGGGACGAGGTCCTCGCCAGTGAAGGCACAGGGGAAGAGCAGCTAACCTCTTGCTGTGCACGATGATGGGGACGAGGTCCTCGCCAGTGAAGGCACAGGGGAAGAGCAGCTAACCTCTTGCTGTGCACGATGATGGGGACGAGGTCCTCGCCAGTGAAGGCACAGGGGAAGAGCAGCTAACCTCTTGCTGTGCACGATGATGGGGACGAGGTCCTCGCCAGTGAAGGCACAGGGGAAGAGCAGCTAACCTCTTGCTGTGCACGATGATGGGGACGAGGTCCTCGCCAGTGAAGGCACAGGGGAAGAGCAGCTAACCTCTTGCTGTGCACGATGATGGGGACGAGGTCCTCGCCAGTGAAGGCACAGGGGAAGAGCAGCTAACCTCTTGCTGTGCACGATGATGGGGACGAGGTCCTCGCCAGTGAAGGCACAGGGGAAGAGCAGCTAACCTCTTGCTGTGCACGATGATGGGGACGAGGTCCTCGCCAGTGAAGGCACAGGGGAAGAGCAGCTAACCTCTTGCTGTGCACGATGATGGGGACGAGGTCCTCGCCAGTGAAGGCACAGGGGAAGAGCAGCTAACCTCTTGCTGTGCACGATGATGGGGACGAGGTCCTCGCCAGTGAAGGCACAGGGGAAGAGCAGCTAACCTCTTGCTGTGCACGATGATGGGGACGAGGTCCTCGCCAGTGAAGGCACAGGGGAAGAGCAGCTAACCTCTTGCTGTGCACGATGATGGGGACGAGGTCCTTGCCAGTGAAGGCACAGGGGAAGAGCAGCTAACCTCTTGCTGTGCACGATGATGGGGACGAGGTCCTCGCCAGTGAAGGCACAGGGGAAGAGCAGCTAACCTCTTGCTGTGCACGATGATGGGGACGAGGTCCTCGCCAGTGAAGGCACAGGGGAAGAGCAGCTAACCTCTTGCTGTGCACGATGATGGGGACGAGGTCCTCGCCAGTGAAGGCACAGGGGAAGAGCAGCTAACCTCTTGCTGTGCACGATGATGGGGACGAGGTCCTCGCCGGTGAAGGCGTCCTTGATGGGGTGGAAGCACTCCCTCATCACCTCCATGCCGCACCGCAGCTTCCTCTCCACCTCGCCTGTTCGCTCCCTCAGTAGGTTGTCGTGCCGCCGCTCCTCCTTGGTCACTGAACCTGCTTCGCTGCGCGGGCCCTCCGCGTGCAGAAGCGTCCAGGAGAAGCCGCCCGGGAGGGAGATGGGCTTGCCTATGAGGCGTTGCAGGCCGAAGAATACCTGTGGGGTGAGGGGTGTGGGTGCGGTGAGGGGTGAAGGTTGAGGGGTTAGAGGTGAGGGGTTAGGGGTTAAGGGTCAGGGGTGAGGGCTTAGGACTGAGGGGGTAAAGGTGAGGGATTAGGGATGGGGGGTTAGGGCGTATTCGTAGCTTTGTGTCATCCCGAATTCATGTCATCCGAAATTGTGGGATCCAGTCTGAAAACCCGCGGTTCGAGATTCGAATTTTCCGATTGGATCCCATGATTTCGGATGACACGAAGCCTAGATGACACGAAGTCAGGAATACGCCCTTAGGGGTGAGGAGTGAGGGGTTGGGGAAGGAGCTAAGATTTTTGGGGTGGGATGAGGGGTTCAGGGTGAGTTGAGGGGGAATATTGAGGGGTGAGGCGTAACAAGAACGGGCAGTGGAAGAAAGCAAAAGACACTCACGGTGCGGCACTGTGGGCGGCAGAAGAAACGGCCGGTGGGCAGCTCCTTGAGATCCGCCCACCCCATGTCCCTGAGACAGCTCACATGATCTGATTGGGGAGGTGGGAGGGGTGCATGGAGGAGTGGGAGAGGCTTGTGTCATGGGAGAGGCTTGTGTCATGGGAGAAGCAAGGCAGAAGAAGAAGAGGCCGGTGGGGAGATCCTTTGAGTCCGCCCACCCCATGTCCCTGAGACAGCTCACATGATCTGATTGGGGGAGCGGGGCGGGCGGAGGAGAAGGCAAGGAGGGAGGAGAGAGAAAGTGGGTGGGTCGGAAGGAAGAGAAAGGGAAGAATTGTTGGAGGCATTGTTAAGGAGCACCGTGGCTTAATAGGCTTAGACATATGCAACTGACACACGTTGTGGAGGCGGCAACAATGCAATGCAGCACAGGGAGTGCGGAACTGGCAAGGGGAGCCAATGAGTGCAAGGGCAGGAGGTGGTGTGTAAACCCTACACCCCTCCTTCAACTCACACTCGCGCTCGCACTGGTCGCAGAAGATGACGGTGTCGTCGCCAAAGCCCTGCGTGCCGTAGTGGCTGCCCCCGCAGATGGAGCAGCGGCATGCCGGACAGAACCAGTTGCCCCCCGGCAACGCCTGCTCGCCACGCATGGGGAGATGGGAACGTGAGGGGTTGGGAAAGTGAGGGGATGGGAAGGTGGGAAGATGGGGAAGTGAGGGGATGGGGAGGTGGGGGGATGGGGAGGTGGGAAGATGGAGAGGTCGGGGGATGAGGAGTTGGGGGGATGGGGACAAGATCGTAACCACGGACGTCAAGATTACAGGGTTCCTATGCAGAGGGGATGAGAGGGGCAAGCAGGAGGCACGAGAATGGAACACACCTGCAGGCCAGCGCAGGGCAGGTGCAGTGTGGCAGGGCATGCATCGCAGCACAGCAGCTCGCCACCATCCCCACACAGCCTACACAGCACATCACTGTAGTCATTCCGCTCCCCCGCTCCCCCCTCCCCTTCCGCGCCCTCCCCGCCCCCCTCACCCCCTGCGCCTTTCACCTTCGACCCCAGCCCCTTCACTCTCACCACCTTCCTCGCCGCTGCCCCCTCCCCCTTCCCCTCCTCCCGCCCACCACCTGACGTTCCCCTCCCGCCTGCCTCCCTCACTGCGCCATTCCCCGCAGCCACCCCACCTCCATCCCCACCCCCAGCAGCGCTCACGCCTGCGCCTGTGCCTCCCCCATACGCGCTCCTCTCCGCCTCCATCTTGCACACGGCCAGCGTCCGCCCGTCCTCCAGAAACATATTCGCCGCGGGGCGCCTGTACGTCACCCCTGTGTGCGCCTCAAACCCAGAGAGGTTAAACATGCGTCCGCAGCAGTCGCACGTCACGCCCTGCCGCGACAGCCGCCCGCTCTTGAGCGCGCGCCTCTCCCGCATGTCCCTATACTCGACTGCCTCGCCGTCTCTCACCAGCCCTTGGTCTATCAGCCGCGCTAGGTCCCTCCCAGGCGGGTAGACCTTCGCTATAGAGTGCTTCTTGTGCGCGGGAGCCCTGCGCGCGGGGGGAACGTCCGCGCTGCCCGCGTGCTCCGCGGAGTCTGGGGCAAACCCACCTCCGGCTGCCTCCCCTGCTGCCTCGTCCGCTGCCCCAGGGGCCTCTCTCACCCGCAACTGCCGCGCCCTGCCTCTGCTGCCCTGCGCCTTGGTCCCCTTGCCGATCACCACTGCGCCCTCTCTCCGCCTCCCCGCGCTGCCCTCACCCGCCGCGTGCTTCCCCCCTGGCCCTCCCCCTCCGCCCATGCTCACTCGCTTCTGCTCCGTCACGCGCTTTCCCCTCGGCGCAACCCTGTCCAAGGGCGACCCAGCCTCGTGCTGATTCACCCCACTCGCCTCTCCCGCCTCTCCCGCCAATCTGCCGTCTCTCAACCCTCTCCCTTCTCTCGCCTGGCTCACATCAGACACTTCGTTCACCTCCCGTACGTGCTGCGATCCTGCGCCCCGTGAATGCAGCACGCCGAGCCCCGTGCCTGCGCCCGCACCGTGACCCAACCCTAACCCTAACCCTAACCCTAAACCTGAGTCCCTGCGCCTGATCTTCTTTCCGCCGCTATAACGCCCCATGTCTGCCCTAGTAGTCGTATCCAGGCCACCAGAGGCCACCTTGGGAGTGTCGGCTGCAGCAGCATCAGGAACTGCTTCAGAGCCTCCATCCAAACTAGCCCCTGTTCTCGGTGTTATCGAGGCTGTCTGTTCGTGCGCAAGCTCGCTGCTAATCGCGCCGTTCTCATCCCCTCGACCATCCCCGCGCGGCTTCAAGCTAAGTCTCGCTACGCCGTTCTCGCAACCCGCGCTTCCGCTACCCGCAATCATCGCCGCAGCCCCCTCCACCTTCCGCGGGTGCCACTCGCCCGTGCGCTCGTCCCAATCCTGACCGAACCGCAACAAACCGATCGCAACCGACTCCGACGTCGCTTCGTCGGGAAACTCCACGGGTACTTCCGTGCGCTTGCCGACGCGCACGACGTCCGCGAGGAGGAACCCCTCCCACCACGCGTCGTTGCACAGCATGTCCACCGGCGCGCCCGCGCGCCACCGCCTGTACGACGGCACGTGCTCCTGCGGCGGGCGCGGCCGCAGCACCGGCTTCACCGCGCGGCCGTTCACCCCGTCCGCCGTTACCAGCTTCGCGAATTTCGCCATTGCGGACTCGATCAGAGTTTTCCACGGGGAATCGGGGGGTGGAGCCTGGCACGGAGTTCCCGAGGTAAAGTAGGACGCGAGAGGAATGGCTTCGACGAGCGGCTCGGAGAGGTCGTCTGTGATAAGCTCCTGGTACTGCACGACGCGCCAGCCGTCTTCCACACCCACCACCACCGCCGGGTGCCATGACCCGCGCAAACCCTCCTCCAGCTGCCGCACCTGCAGGGAATCGGCGGAGGGAAACGATGGAGATTCGTGCGGAAATTGGAAATTGCGCCACTGAACGGCAGAAAATAAAACGAAGCTTGAGACAAAAATTCACGAAAAGTACGTGGTCGCAGCAGCGAAACGAGAACGAAGGTAAGAAAGCAGACGCGAAGCTAAAATGAATACGTCTGGTGATACTATATTGAAGTATCACGGCGGCTATCCAATGCTACGCCTGGTGGACTTAATCGACTCAGACGCACGAATGAATCTCCTAATATCCAGATTCGTCACCTGCGCGACGGCAACGAAACGAAACTACAGGAAACGAAACGGATAAGATACCTCGACTTCCAAACCGACGGCCAACCGTCCTCCTTCTGAAATCTGATCCTGGCTGGAATCATCCGACGAAACCTCCACCACTGCGTCGTCTTCCGATTCAGCTGACGGCATCTTGCCAGGAAGCTGGACCTTCAAAAGGCCCCAACCTTCGCTATCGCAAAGCGCGACCATCCGTGACGTCCCGCATTGAGCGAGCGACACGGGACGAACGCCGCGCTACTTCAAGAATTCAAAATACTAAGCTGCTGTTAGCTACAAGAATTCTGCTTTTCACTTCTGATTATTGCTGCTGGTTTCTTGTTTCTCGCTTATTTCTGAGGCGGATGTAAGAATTGCTGCAGCAGGGTGGTTGGTGGATATGGGTGAGGCGGAGGGGTCTGCTCTGCACCCAACGGACGGTGGGATGAAGACCACGCCCCACAGAGTGATAATCGAGGGTCGATCGAACGCTCACGAATTTGATCTGTATTTCGGTTCCGTGACACTTGCTGGCTAGGGTTTCTTCTAACGAGGGTGCGGACAAGAACACTCGTCAGTCCCTCATTCATCTTCTTGTGTTAAATCTCGTTTAGAAAAAACATAAACAGCAGCAAGCATCTTCTTGTGTTAAATCTCGTGTATAGATACTTTTAAGTTAACAGTCAAAATCATATCCTAACCTAATTTGGAAACTTTTGAAGGGCTCCAACTGAAGCTATTCTATGGAACGATGGAAAGATGCTCACTAAGCTCCCAGCGAAACTAGCTCCATGAGGGGAAGGGAGCACACCTTGTGGCGTGCCTACGTCGTATGCATCAAAAAGTGATGCCCCTGCTCCTGTTACCTGCACGCTGCCTACGCCGGGGTCACACGGCGATATTAACGCAATTGGAACTTGGGCTCCGGGAGTTCCTGCAGATCTGTTACCTTCATAGACGATCCTGTCAAGCCGGCACCTACCCAAGGCTGCCGTGTGACAGTTCCCTAATGGCTGAGGTGTCGTGTCAAATGCTGTGAGTTCTCCTATGACTGTATGAGCCCCCGCAGCTGGTGCAGGCGTCAGTGTTGCTCCTGAAGATAGTGTCAGTTTGTTTGTGGGTGTCAGAAGGCTGGACGGAGTGAAAGGGATCATTTTAGGACTGGGCAGGATGAGAGGCGATTCGTCAAGAGAGGAGTCGGCTGACCAGAGGTTTGTGGGATCAGTACCTTCCCACATGCTGCAAGCAACAACCAAGCAGAAAATGACAGGAGAGGTAAACTGAGATTATTGAGAAGGCCAGAAAAGCTGTCAAAGAGACACAAGGAACATGAAACAAGGTGACTGACCAGTAAAATCATGCGGGTAACTAACCTGTTGATGAGCGCGAGGGGGCTGGGCAATTTCTCAGACACCATGGTGGTATCAGCCGTCGCGCCTGCTGCCAGGTTGCTCCCTCCACCCACACCCAGACCTGCAGGAACGTCCATCCCAGCTACAGCGCTGACAGTGGCATCTGCTTCAGTGTCCCCAGGAAGGCACGGGATGATGAGGCGAGGGGGCATTCTGAACCCTGCTCTCACCCGCCCTGCACTGCCAAGCAGCGCAGTCAGCCGTGTCAATGCAGCCTGAGTGCTTGGCTGTGACCTAGTCAGGCCAGCTTCTAAGCACGCAGGAGGGGGCATTGCCGTATTATCAGTCACGCCCCTGCTGGGCTGACTGCGCGTGGCGCCTGTGGAGACTGTGGTGCCTGCGTTGATGCTACCAACCTCCACCTCGCCCCCTTGTCCCATCCCAGCTTGATCTTCCCCGTCAACGCCAGACCCTTCCCGCCATGCGCGGCCTGGGCGCGGACTGCGCCATTTTGCCTCCGCTTCCGCCAGTACCCTGGGCGTTGTGCGCGCGGGCACCGCCAAGGGAGCAAGCGCAAGGGGCTCAGAAGGCAGTGGCGGGCTCGCCGGGAAGTGGGCGGAAGGGCTGTCGCAGGGGGAAGCGGAAGAAGCGGAAGGACTATCGTCGTCGGCGGAGGGAGTCCTGGGGGAAGCTTCTCCCGCTGGTGCGAAAGGGGAAGTGATGGCGGAAGGGGGGAGGTTGCACGGGGAGGGAGGCGCACCGGGAGGTGCGCGGGGAGCGGGACGGGGAGCGGCGGGGGCGTGGAGGGGAGGGAGGAGCTGGGAGGAGGAACCGGTGGGCGACGCGAAACCCGCGTCGTGCGTCGACTCATCCACGCGACGACGTTTTGACAGAGGTTCATCAACGCTTTGCGCCGATGCTACCGCCAGCGGAGCAGGCCCCGCGGGGACTCCCTTTCGCGGATCCTCCCCCAGAGCGGCGGCGAGGAGGCTAGAGGGGGCGAGCAGGGGCGGCGCGGAGGGCAGTGGGAGGTGCAAGTCGGGATCGACGCCGAGGTCCCTCAGTCGCCGCTTTAATCGAGTGTTCCAGTGGTTCTTAATGTCGTTGTCGGTGCGCCCCGGCATCTCGAGCGCGATCTTCGCCCAACGGTTGCCCATCTGACGGTGCAGGCGCACCACGAGATCCTCCTCGTCGCGCGAAAACGCGCCTCGCTTCAAGTCGGGCCGCAGGTAGTTGGTCCATCGCAGGCGACAGCTCTTGCCGCACCGCTGCAACCCTGTGACGCGGAGTGGAGGAGATAAGAGGAAGGGAGAAGAGGGGGTGTTGAGCGGTGTCCGGTACGGAACGACGAAAAAGCGGAGTGGAACTAGGGGTGACGACAATGGCGAAAGGTGGGGAACGGGCGGAACATGGAAAACAATTAGCTTGGAGATCAAGCTTGGTCAAGACAACCCATGGTGGAACATTCGGGCGTAGAAGCTGGCATCGATTCGCATGCAGCCAGCCCGCGTCTACTGTGATCGCTTGTGTGCGTTTTGGGTTTTGCTTGCCATTAACTTACACCTACACTCTATGCGAGCTACATCCACGTACCGGCTTTCCTGGGAATGGCGCTCCAGTTGCCGTCGCCGTGTTCCGCGATGCATTTCACGAGCAGCTCGTCCTCCTCCGCCGTCCACGACCCTTTTCTCAACTCCGCCTTGTCGCCGCCACACGTGCTTGCACGGGCCATTCTGCTACGAGGAATACGCGCATGCGCGACAAGACACGCGTTTGCTTTTTGGGTTGATCAATGTCGCTGTGGCGTAGCTGGTCGATAGACTACGAGGTGTTTGCTGGTTTCGGAATTGTCAGCATCAGAGTCGTGCAAAGAGCGAAGCAGTTTGGCGTAGCCTGTGAAAAGGTGAAAACCAACAACTAGGGTGCACGCACATTGGTCTAGGGAATGGAGGGTTGTGCTTGCTCTATTATGCCTTGCTGTGTGTCCTGCATTTCCGTCTCGCGAATTTTTGAACGCCCTCGACAAAATTCGCCCCTCGTTCCGCGCGATTCGTCCCTCAAATTCCCCGCACCGCGACTCCGCTCCGCGCTGTCCTTGCGGGGGGGAACGGGAAGGAGGGGTACTGTAGTGGGGGAAGAAAAACCGGCCAATATCATAGATACTCAAAGTATTCCCGAGCGATTTCTCAGGTGTAATCACCTACAGAAACACAGTTTTGCGATATAGCAGTAAGTGTTTTCTGTTGTTTTCTGAATACAGTCACTACAGAGAATGCAGCACCTGAAAAAAAAAAAAAAAAACTTGTAGCGAACCTATATGAATTTTGAGACAGATCAAGCCTAACTGCGGGAAACCGCCCACTTCAGGAGAAATATATTGCACTTTCTTGACCCAACAAATAGCACTTAATCGGAATGGGATGCGACTCGGGAGGCATCAACCCTGAAAACAATGCCCTTTCCCGTGTTTAGGGTTGATCCCTCCCGAAAAATCGTCCAGATTCTATAGGGGTTTAGATTTTTCTGCCCTGTCGTAAACTTACGTACTTTAATTTAACAAATTCAGGTCGGGAGGGTAACTAGATAGTTTTGTTTTTCTCGCTTATTTAAGATTTCGACCGGCATAAACAATGTGACTAATAAGCGACGACCAATCAAAGTTGAGAATGTCCAGGTTGAATACACCTGAGATCCTGCTCGGGACTAATCTGAGTATGTATGAAGTTGGCTGAAGAATAAAGCTGGGGCAAGAGACACCGAGACTGACCTTTTGCCAGCTGGAGGAAGCGGGGGTTTTTTTGGACCAGAGAGGGGAAGCTCCACGTCAACTAGACAGACCATTTATCAACTGTTACCGATCTATCCAGTAGCTTCCAGTAGCACGAACCCACGTAGATCGGAACCCGTCATCAATGCGACGTCCAGCGAGGACTCGCACGGTTCTCCTCAACCCGACACGAGCACAAGCTTCTGCTACGCCAAGGCGGCTGCATGCATAATACAGCTGATGCTCACCCCATGCACGCGAAATTGCCATGCACTGGATGGAAACGCTGCCCCCGAGCATGAAACCCCCGCTTGCTGCTCCCACAGTACACCCTGTTTCGCGCTAGCAGAGCATCTGGTTGCAGAACATGCACTGGTTGTAGAACGTCACCACGTTTGAAATGGTCTTATCACCGACGGTACAAGCACATTCACAAGAAAGCGGTTAGCTAGGATGCTGCATGGTAAAGAACATTAACCAAGCGTTTCAAAGCGGTTGAAAAGGGTATACAGCGATAAAGAAAAATTTTGCCCCCAGTACCACTCCGTCAGCTGGTGCGGCTTTGCCCGCAGGTTTCAGCCATACGGTTTATGGCACCTGACCGCACTGTAGCAGCGAATCGCGCAAGGTGAGAGGGTCGAGAAACAGGGTGTACAAGCACCCGGGGTGGCAGGAAACAGTGCGCGCGACTCGGACAGTTTATCACGTGCAGTTCCGAACAACCAACGCCAACCCTGCTGTGCCCCGTTTCCAGGCCAGGAGCCTGCACTGCGAAAGTGAGTGGACGAAACGAACGAGGCCTCGTGAACGCAATCGCCAATCCACCCCGCCACCTAGGCACGGATCATTGTGCGTGTAACAGACATCGTGGGCAAATTCACGATCCCACGTGTAATCTGCCTGTGCGGGGTACAAGCGTTATTGTAGCCAGGCATTGTTCTCATACACCACGTCAGACAATTGAACGTAAGGTTACCAACCCCCAACGTCAAATGTGCAAGCCAGGTGCATGGAACGAACTCCAACCACACGTACAGTTCCAAGCCCCAAAGAACAGACCCCAACCTTGTCCCAGGTGAATTCGAAGTGAGGATAAAATGTTACCAACAATTTCACTAAGACAGTTAGTTCACTCACCTCATCCTGACACAATGCCGCGATTTAATCGACGGGAACAGCTGCCGCTCCACATCAAGCGCGCCATTTGCGCGCACCACCTCGAACACCCCGTCCTGCGCCATGTCGACCTAGCTCGATGGTGTTTCTCCCAGTACGGGTTGCGCCCGGATCGCTCTACGATCGGCCGCATCCTAAAAACCGCCGAGCGATGGGATGTGACGTCCGACGGCACCAACCCGGTGCGCCGTCGGGCAGGCGCCTGGCCAGAGCTGGAGCAGGCCATGGGGCGGTGGATAGCAAACGCAGGACCCGCCGGTGTGCCCCTCACACTCCAAACCATCCGCGACCATGTCGCGGCGATGGCCAGGAACATGGGCATTCCGCCCACCTTCCGATGCTCGATCGGCTGGGTGCGCCGTGCATTGCGGCGCCAGGGCGTGAGATGCCGTGCGGCACAGGGCGAGGCCGCCAGCGCAGATATGGCGGCCGTGCGCGACGCCCGTGAGAAGATGCCGCGACTCCTCACGCAGCTCGGCGTCGCCCCGCGGGACACCTTCAACCTCGACGAGACTGCTCTCTGGCTGTCGGTGCTTCCGCGGCGCACGTACAGCAGCGGCCGCATACCCGGCCGCAAGGTCTCGAAGGAGCGATTGACCGTCGCATTCCTCATGAATGCGGACGGTAGCCATGCATTCCGGCCGCTTGTGATAAGCAAGGCGAAGAGGCCGCATGACTTCCGGCCCGACTATGACCCTGAGGCGCTATGCTACTGGCGCCATAACGCCAAAGGCTGGATGACCTCGCCTGTAAGCATATTTGCGTGGAATGTGCACCTTTTTGACTCTCATTGCCATTGTTCGCAATTTTGTCATGTGTTTGTTCTCACGATGATGCCGACCGTGTCCCATTTTTCCATGCCATCCCGTCCAACAGTTATTCACGCATTTCATTACTCATCTCAACGCGGCGATGTTTGCCGAGGGTCGCAAAATAGTGGTGCTGCTGGACAACGCGAGCAGCCACATGCTGCGCGCCGTAGATGCATGGAGCGAGATCGTGTGCGGCGTCAGGACCACGTGCATGAGCCACGTGCGGCTTGTCTTCCTGCCGCCCAATACCACGGCATTCACTCAGCCGCTTGACCAGGGCATAATCGCCACCGCGAAGGCCCGCTACCGCCAGCATTGGCTGCGGGCCTTCTCGGGTTTATGGAACGCCGACGGAGCGACTTCCGCGGTCGCTCGATTCCGGCCGAATCTGCGAGATGTGCTCGAGTGGCTGTCGGAGTCGTGGACCTCCGTCGGCGCGCGCACCATTCAACGATGTTGGTGGCGCACGGGGTGTCTTCCCCTCTCGTGGTCACTGGAGCTGCCGCACGTGCATGACGACGAGCCCATCCCCGCAGCTTATCCCGACATCGAACTCGACGATGACATCGATGATGTCGGGACGCTTATTAACACGCTCGACCTCGGGAATGCGGCAATGACGGCGGCGGAATACGTCGCCATCGACGACGCGGAGCCCACGTGTGCGGAAGGCACGGCACACCCGCCCGTGACAGAGGAGGAGATGCGCTCGGAGGTGGAGCTCTGGCAGGCGCCGACGACCATGCAGGCCGTTTACGACGACGCCGACCCCGTGTGCCGTGAAGCGCGCCGCACTGCTCGTGCGGCGTGCGAGATGCTCATCGGCTACGCCCGGGCCACCCGCATCACTCCGCGCGATCTGTGCGCTCTTTTCGACATCCGCAATCCAATCATAATCGCGCGGATGGAGCGGGCGAGCCCGGGATTCAATCTCAACGTGGCGCCGCAGCCCGTACCCTCCCGCGGCGCAACCCCCACTCCCGAGACACCTCGTCCGCGGGGCCGTGTGCTGCCCGACTGGATGACCCGCCAGTCCCGCCGTCAGCAGCTGCTTGATGCCGGGGTGGGCGCCGTGATGGACGGCTATGTGGATGCAGCGGAATGGATGCGTCTGTGAGAGGGGGTGGAGCAGCCAGAGCAAAGTGTCGAGTGAATTTTGCAGGGCCCCAGTGATAAAACATTGTGCCCATTTCAGTGTGTTTCGTTTAGTGTGTTGTGTTGCTATGGGGGGCCAGGTGGGAGTTGTTGATTGGATGTCTATGTTGTGTGTTAGTTGTTTCTCACCTCGAGGAACAATTGATGTGCACGCCTGATTCATTACTGTAGGGGTCGTGTAGTAACATTGAACACACGAGAGAGACAAGCATGGCAACCCCCCCCTGTTACAAAACAAACAAAAGGTGAGGTAACCATATGCGGGTTAGAGGCACGGGATACGCGTGACGAAACGAACGAACCTCTGGCGAAATGATGTTTAGCTTATAGTCCCAGAGCACAAGGCAACCGGGAGGGGCTCTAACGAGCATCAGGTGTAATAAGCAGGCATGGAGCTGACGACGCAGCATCACGCGACTGTCTACACGATGTCGTACAGCTGTAACCAATCTTGCCAAAGTTTCACAAAAAATGTGGGTGTGTGAATCACTGAAGATAACAGCCCAAAAAGTTCAAGCCTAACATCTTGGTTCACAGCCGAAGAACCGCAAGTGTCGCACTGTAGATCGTAACATCTGTTGGAGTCAAAGCCAGTTACGGGCAGACGATAATCTACACCCTGTTTCTCGACCCTCTCACCTTGCGCGATTCGCTGCTACAGTGCGGTCAGGTGCCATAAACCGTATGGCTGAAACCTGCGGGCAAAGCCGCACCAGCTGACGGAGTGGTACTGGGGGCAAAATTTTTCTTTATCGCTGTATACCCTTTTCAACCGCTTTGAAACGCTTGGTTAATGTTCTTTACCATGCAGCATCCTAGCTAACCGCTTTCTTGTGAATGTGCTTGTACCGTCGGTGATAAGACCATTTCAAACGTGGTGACGTTCTACAACCAGTGCATGTTCTGCAACCAGATGCTCTGCTAGCGCGAAACAGGGTGTATAACCAACTTGTGAACCAGCGCCATTGACGGTGCCATTCGAATGGCAGCCTCAAGTTGAAATCAGAGTGAGGTGGACAACGCGAGTTGTGGATTGCGAGACAGATCGCATGTCCATCCAGATAGCATCTTCGTGGGAGAGCGCAGCCATCTCCTCTTCACTTTTGGCGTGAACTGCAGGCCTCAGATCGTGTGGCCAGAATGCACCTCATCCTCCTCTCAACGAGGCTTGAAGCTCATCCACGGTCAAAGGATAGGATTCACTGTTGACGCCAGCTCTTGACTTCACAGCTGCATCTCACACGCGTTGCAATCGTAGAAAAGGCACTTGTTGTCGTGGCGGAGGAGGGAACATGACGTCAAGTTCCAACCAACATGGACCTTTCATCTTCCAACACAACACAAACCACAACACGCATACGCTGTATTGTTCTAGCTTTTATTGATTGACTTTAAGGAATAGATACACCTTCACACCCAAAGGCTCTATAGGACCAAAACAAACGTCCACATCATATAACACCTCTAGACATAATCACACGGACAATACATACATTAGTACATATGTCAATGGTGCCTTCAAATATTACACCAGTTTCGACATAAAACTCCTTCGAAATTGACCCCTTATCCAAATATTGACGACCTAAATTTTCGACCTCAGTCACATCCTTTGTGTCATCACCAACTACTCGCATGGGCTGGAAAACCACTTAATCCTCGCGCACAAAAGGGATGCGGCTCAGGTGGAGACTACATGAACTCGGCAACGGAGGTCGAAGAGTGGGTCAACCACATGTATATCATGAAATATATTTCTATATAATTGCTTTTTGCATTAACATCACGTAGTGTAGCCTAATGTTGGTGGTGCACCCCTTGCATGCTTGCTATATCTTGTAACTCTTCTCTTGGTGAACCCCTATTCTCAACTCCCTCGATACTCACGCTAGTACCCAGAACCCTAGCCATGGTTCCTACATCTAATCAGTTCCTTTCAACATGCTATCAGAGCCGGTCCTTCCTAGGACCTAGTCATCATGGGCCCACCAAACGCGCCATCGTCCATGGCGGTCTACTGTTCTGCTTTCGCGGTCGCTACTGTCAGTGGCATGATATCTGCAAATGCGGACGCTGTATTTGTTGCACTAGTCGCGCTGCCCCGTCGCCCCGTCGACCCTCCTGTCATGGCGACGAGCTGGGCGGCTCACGCTGCCCCGTCGTCCCGTCGCCTCGTCACCCGCCTCGTTCCGCGCTGCCCCGCCCCTCGTCCCGTTACGAGCAGCCGGAGGAACCACGCACAGCCGCACGCAGCTGTCAGAATGTGTTATTTGTCTAGTTGGCAGTGGGGTAATCTATAGTGAGTACGACCCAACTAGGGTTTGGTATATGCATCCCATTGCTTGCTAGTGAATGCCCCTCTTTTCTGTTTCAACCTTGTGCCTACTATTCTGACATGCTATTAGAGCGAGATCGCTCCTGGCCTGTGGACCCACCTTCTTCCACTACTGTCCTACCTGTCGCGCGCCTTGGGCGCGCGATGTCTTATGCCTGCCGCGCGCCCTGCGCACGTGGCGTTTTTTCTTCCCGCCGCGTGCTCGGGGCGCGCGGCGGTTTTCTGCCCGCCACATGCCCCGGGCGCGCGTGGCGGTTTCGTCGCCCGACGCGGCGCCCCGGTGACCCGCGCGCTGTCCCCTCCCGTCGCCCGCCGCGTGTCCGAACATTATATAGCGTATGCTGTTGTGTAGGCTATAGTGGGGTATCCCATAGGGGGTACAACTAAACTAGGGTTTGCTATTTGTACTCACTTCACTCATAGTTCCACTCATTCCTGTTCTTCAGTTTCACATGGTATAGAGCAGGTTCCCTGTGGGAACTTCGCCTAGGGCCCACCACTCAAAAATTTTTCCTGCCCGAAGCGCACTCGTTCCGAGTCGCGCCTCGGGCCTTTCTCTTACCGAGCCGCCCTAGCGGCCGACCCTTACCTCGCGGCCTCGCCGCCCTTGCTAGCGGCCCCGCCGCCCTTTCTAGCGGCCCCGCCGCCCTATCGCGGCCCCGCCGCCTCTTTCTTGCGGCCCCGCCGCCCTATCGCGGCCCCGCCGTCCCGTCGCGGCCCCGCCACCCAGTCGCGGCCCCGCCACCCCTTCGAGCGGCCCCGCCACTCTTTCGCGGCCCACCCGCCGCCCCACCTGCGGCCCTACCGCCGCCCTACTTGCGGCCACCCGCCGCCCTACCTTCGCGGCCCACTCGCCGCCCTACCTGCGGCCACCCGCCGACCTACCTTCGCGGCCCACCCGCCGCCCTACTTGCGGCCGCCCGCCGCCCTACCTTCGCGGCCCACCCGCCGCCGTACTTGCGGCCCACCCGCCGCCCTACCTTCGCGGCCCACCCGCCGCCCTACCTGCGGCTCTACGCCGCCCTACCTGCGGCCCGCCCGCCGCCCTTCCTGCGGCCCACCAGCCGCCCTACCTAAGGCCGTCCCGCCGCCCTACCTTCGGCCCACCCGCCGCCCCACCTGCGGCCCACACGCCGCCTCACCTGCGGCCCACCCGCCGCCTCACCTGCGGCCCACCTGCCGCCTCACCTGCGGCCCACCTGCCCTACCTACGCGGCCCCCAGCAGCAACCGAGCCGCCCCGCAGCCGCCGAGCCGCCCAGCATCACTCGAGCCGCCCAGCAGCAGCCGAGCCGCCCAGCAGCAGCCGAGCCGCCTAGAGCCGCCGAGCAGTCCAGCAGCAGCCGAGCCGCTCGGAGCCGCCGAGCCGCCCAGCAGCAGCCGAGCCGCCCGGGAGCAGCCGAGCCGCCCAGAAGCCGCCGAGCCGCCCAGCCGCAGCCGAGCCGCCCCGCAGCAGCCGAGCAGTCCTGCAGCCGTCGAGTCGCCCTGCTACCGGGCCGCCCGACCTGCCCTGTCTGGTGAGCACAGCACTGCCCTACTGCTACTGCGTGCTCTTCCCCACTGCTTGCACTGCTAGTCTGTCGTCATGGCTACCCCCAGTGTCCTCGCTTTTGACGCTGAGGGCAGAGCCATTGACTTTGAGGTCTGGGTTGACGACCTGCAGTTGTTTTTACAGTGCGATAGGGCGGACAGTCTTTCTCTCTTTGACCTCACCTCTGGCGCCTCTCCTGCTCCTGCTGCTGATGCTGACCCCACTGTTCGCTCTCAGTGGGCCACCCGCGATGCTGCTGCACGTCTTGCTGTGCGTCGCCACCTCCCTACCACTGAGCGCGCGCACTTTAGTCACTACAAGAGTGCTCAGACCTTGTACGACGCTGTAGTTGCGCGCTACTCTTCCCCTGCCACTGCTGCACTGAGCCGTCTCATGCTACCGTACCTCTTTCCTGATCTCACTGCCTTTCCTACTGTCGCTGATCTCATTACGCACCTTCGCACTAGTGACACTCGCTACCGCGCTGCCCTTCCTACTGAGTTCTGCGCCAAGAACCCCCCCCCCATGTACATCGCTCTCTACTACATAATCACTCGTCTCCCTGACTCCCTCCGCGTAGTCAGGGACCACTTCCTCTCAGTCTGTCCCACCACCCTCACTGTCGACCTCCTCGAGAAGGCCCTCCTAGCGGCGGAGAAGAGTATAGTCACTGTAGGAGCCTCTCGTGGTGACCCACGCACCCCCATCTTTGAGGGGTGTTCTCCTTCCCCCCTGCTGCCCTCTGTTGCCTCTGCTGCTGCTGCTGACCTGCTTGGTCTTGAGTCGGTCGGCGCGGCGTCTGCCCCCAGCGGGAGACGCCGCACTAGCAAGGGCAAGAAGGGGAAGGGCGCGGGTGGAGCTGGCGGGGGCGGTGGAGGTGGCAGTGGAGGCGGCGGAGGGAGTGGGGGTGGCGGTGGGAGTGGTGACGGGAGTGGTGGTGGTAGCGGCGCCAGTGGCGGCGGAGGTGGTGGCAGCGGAGGCGGTGGGAGCGGAGGCGGTGGAGGTGGCGGCGGTGGAGGCGCTGGTGGCGGAGGAGGTGGAGCTGGTCGGGGGAGTGCTCCGCAGAGGAGCGGCTCTAGTGGTGGTCCGCGGCAGCAGCAGCAGCAGCAGCAGCGTACTCGGGACGTCCTCACGCCTCAGCAGCTCCGTGAGTGGTACACGCAGGGTCAGCGTGGTGGAGGCTTTGGCCCGTGCACCTACATTCTTCGCAGCGGCGACCGCGCGGGTGAGCAGTGTGGGGGTGCCCACGCCACCAGGCGCTGCTTTGGCCGCCTGACGGACGCCTGGCGTCAGCAGTTCCCTGACACTTCTGAGATCCCTCGCTGGGGGGACCTTTCTAGGGCTGGTGTAGCGATCTTTGAGCTAGACTTTGATGCTATCCTTGCTGCCATGTATGCTGTGTCTATTAGTGATGAGGGTGACTGTTACCGGTGTTTCCCGTCCAACCCGGGCATTGGTACTGCTGCGCTAGGTACTTGTGAGGCGTCTGCTCTAGGTGCCAGTGCGGCTGCGCTCTCAGGTACTGGTGAGGCTGCGCTCTCAGGTACTACGTCGGCTTCGGCCTCCCTCACTTTCACTCTTGACTCAGGAGCTTCTCGCTCCTTCTTTCGAGACCGCACCACACTCACGCCGCTTGGTCGGCCGGTTGCGGTCTCCCTGGCTGACCCCTCTGGGGGTCCTGTCCTCTCTCACTTTTCCACTGTCCTTCCGTGTCCGGCTGCCCCCTCGGGCACCCTGTCTGGCCTGAACCTCCCCTCGTTCTCGACGAACTTGGTGAGTGATGCGGACTTGCAGGATACGGGGGTTCACCAGTTCACTCCTGCGAGTCAGCGGGTGACCCACTGCACGGACGCGCGCACAGGCCGGCACCTGGCCACGTTCTCTCGTCGGCCGGGGTCGAGCCTCTACACCCTGACTACTGCGTCTCCTCCTGTCCCTGCGTCTGGTCAGGTAGCTGCGTCAGGTCAGGTGTTTGCTGCTGCGTCCAGGTCTGGCCCTGAGTCTGCCCCCTGTTCGTGTCGCCTTCTGTCTCACGAGACTCTCCTGTGGCACCACTGGCTTGGCCACCCCTCCTTGCCCCGTCTTCGGGGCATGGCTTCCCGTGTCCTTGTCTCTGGTCTTCCCCAGTCTCTCCCTCCCCTTCCTTCGGGACCAGGACCTCCCTGTGTCCCCTGTGTCGAGGGGCGCCTCAGGGCTGCTCCTCACTCCTCCCAGTTTCCCCCGACAGAGGCTCCTCTGCAGACACTTCACATGGACGTGTGGGGCCCGGCCCCCGTCCGTGGGCAGGGTCACGAGCGCTACTTTCTGTTGGTGGTTGACGACTACTCGCGTTACACCACAGTCTTCCCCTTGCGTAGCAAGGGTGCTGTCACTGAGGTGCTGATCGACTGGATCCGCGAGGCTCGTCTCCAGCTCAGGAGGAGCTTCGGCTCGGACTTTCCTGTTCTGCGTCTGCACTCTGACCGAGGTGGGGAGTTCTCCTCTCGCCTTCTGCGAGACTACTGTCGTGCACGGGGGATCCGCCAGACCTTTACGCTTCCGGACTCTCCACAGCAAAATGGGATTGCTGAGCGTCGCATTGGCATGGTCATGGATGTCGCTCGTACGTCCATGATGCATGCGGCTGCCCCCCATTTTCTGTGGCCGTTTGCGGTTCGGTACGCGGCGCATCAGCTCAACCTTCACCCCAGGGTCTCTCGGCCCGCGATGTCCCCAGTCTTACTGTGGACGGGGAAGGTCGGCGATGCGTCTGCGTTCCGTGTCTGGGGATCTCGGGCGTTTGTCCGCGACTTGTCTGCGGACAAGCTGTCCCCCCGTGCTGCTCCCTGTGTCTTCCTTGGCTTCCCCCCTGACGCTCCAGGGTGGCAGTTCTACCACCCCTCCTCTCGTCGTGTTCTGTCCTCCCAGGACGTCACGTTCGACGAGTCAGTCCCCTTCTACCGCCTCTTCCCCTACCGCACTCCTTCCCTCCCCCCGCCACTGGACTTCCTTGTGCCGGTTCCCCCCCCGTTAGACCCCCTCCCCCCTCAGGTTCCTGCCCCCTCAGGTGTGTCCCAGGTAGACGCCGTTGACCCGGTCGAGGTTACTGGTGACTCTGGTGCTGCTGCGGGTGCTGAGCCTGGGGGTGCTGACTCTGGGGGTGTTGTGCGCGTGGGTGCTGAGGCTTGGGGCGCCGAGCTTGGAGGTGCTGCTACTGGGGGTGCTGAGCCTGTTGGTGCTACTGCTGCGGGTGCTGTGCCTGGAGCTGCTGAGCTAGGGGGTGCTGAGTCTGGGGGTGCTGAGTCTGGAGCTGCTGAGCCTGGGGGTGCTGAGTCTGGAGCTGCTGAGCCTGGGGGTGCTGTGTCTGGAGCTGCTGAGCCTGGGGTTTCTCCTGGTGCTCCGTCTCGGCGGGAGCCTCTCTCTCCACAGGAGCTGCGCGAGTGTTTTGCTCGCCGCTGGAGGCGTACTGCTGGCGCTGGAGCTTCTTCGACCGCCGAGGGTGCTGGTGCCGCCGGTCCCGGAGCTGCTGGGCCTACGGGTCCTATTGGAGCTGGAGTTGCTGAGGGTGTTGGTGCTGAGACTACTGCTGTCTGTCCTGGCCGTGGTCCTGGTGCTAGTGCTGCTGGAGGTCCTACCGCTGGAGGTGTTGGTGGCGCTGGTGCTACCGCTGAGGGTGCTGGTGCTGTCCCTGCTGGGTCTAGAGTTGCCGCGCGGCCTCGGCCGTACTTCGTTCCGCTCCTACAGCAGGTTCTTGGTTTTTCTCCTCCTGTAGAGTGTCCACAGCCTGTCCAGTCGCAGTCACTGTTGGAGCCTACCTCCCCACTGCCTGCTCCCTCTCCTTACACTGGTCCTACTGGGGGTCTTGCTGAGCGTCGTGAACCTGCGTCTCGTCCCGCGTTGCTTGTTCGTGCTGCTCGCGCTAGTGGTCGCAGTTCGCGTCAGCGTCCTCCTCCTGTCCCTGGCACGCACCGGATGTCTCTGCGTCCGTCCACTGCTCCTCTGCGTGCCCCTTTGCCTTCTCCTCCTGAGTCCTCTCTTCCTGCACTTGCCGACCCTGAGTCAGACTCTCTTCGTGCTGCCAGTCCTACTGTCACGCGTCTCCTTGCTACTGTCGTCACTGACCCCTCTTTTGAGTCCACTGCTGCGTCTGCGCTTGTTGCTGAGCTCGTCGACTTTGCTGCTCGCTGTCGTCTAGACTACGCTGCCAGTCTTGTTGCTGAGTCTGCGTCTGTCTGTCCTTCGTCCTTCGGGGGTGAGTGTGCCCTTGGCACGGACGTCCTTGAGGACAGGCAGGAGGAGTTCCAGTGTCTGGCTGCTGCTTCACCTCATCTCGCGTCTGTACTGCTTGCTCGTGAGGGAGACCCGGATGCACTAGACATCCCGACTCCGCGCTCTTACGCGGAGGCCGTAGAGGGTCCCTACTCCTCTCAGTGGCAGGCAGCTATGGATGCAGAGATGGCTTCCTGGAAGTCCACAGGCACCTACGTTGACGCGGTTCCCCCTCCTGGGGCGAACATCGTCAGTGGCATGTGGATCTTCAGGGTGAAGCGGCCGCCGGGCTCTCCACCTGTCTTCAAGGCGCGGTACGTCGCTCGTGGCTTCAGTCAGCGGCAGGGAGTTGACTACTTTCAGACCTTCTCTCCCACCCCGAAGATGACCACTCTTCGGGTGCTGCTGCACATAGCCGCTCAGCGCGACTACGAGCTTCACTCTCTCGACTTCAGCACTGCGTTCTTGCAGGGTAGCCTGCACGAGGAGATCTGGCTGCGCCGTCCACCTGGCTTCACTGGGACTTTCCCTCCTGGCACCCAGTGGAGCCTCCGACGGCCAGTCTACGGTCTCCGCCAGGCACCGCGTGAGTGGCACGACACACTGAGGACTACACTTGCGGCTCTTGGGTTCGCTCCCTCTACTGCTGACCCGTCGCTGTTTCTGCGCACCGACACTTCTCTGCCGCCGTTCTACATCCTCGTGTATGTCGACGACTTGGTCTTTGCCACAGCGGACACTGCTGGACTCGCCTACGTGAAGTCCGAGCTGCTGAAGAGACACACGTGCACAGACCTGGGTGAACTGCGCAGCTATCTTGGCTTGCAGATCACTCGGGACAGAGCACGCCGCACCATTACCTTGAATCAGTCACACATGGTGCAGCAGGTCCTTCAGCGCTTCGGCTTCACGTACTCCTCGCCTCAGGCCACTCCTCTGTCTACTCGCCACTCGCTCTCAGCTCTGCCTTCGGATGAGTCCGTAGAGTCGAGTGGCCCGTACCCAGAGCTTGTTGGCTGCCTCATGTACCTGATGACCTGCACACGACCTGACCTTGCATACCCTCTTAGCATTCTTGCTCGCTAGGTTGCTCCTGGGAGACACCGACCAGAGCACATGGCTGCAGCGAAGAGGGTGTTGCGCTACTTGTGCAGTACGTCGGGCATGGGGCTAGTGCTTGGAGGGCGGAGTCCAGTGGTCCTTACGGGACACGCGGACGCTTCTTGGGCTGACGACCAGGCTACGCAGCGGTCGTCACAGGGTTACACCTTCAGCCTTGGTTCCAGGTCTGTCTCGTGGCGGGCTACTCGCTCGTCTTCGGTCCTCAGCTCCAGTTGTGAGGCTGAGATCTACGTAGGGGCCATGGCTGCACAGGAGCTTCGCTGGCTCACCTACCTGCTGACTGACCTTGGAGAGCCGCCTCGTTCTCCTCCAGTGCTGAACGTAGACAACAAAGCCATGCTGGCCTTGTGTCGAGAGCAGCGTCTGGAGCACAGAACTAAGCACATTGCTCTTCGCTACTTCCTTGCTCGTGAGCTACAGCAGCGTGGACAGTTGCGGCTTGCGTACGTGGCCTCTGAGGCCAACACTGCTGACGTGTTCACCAAGGCACTCGCGCCTTGTGACCATCAGCGCTTCTGCACCCAGCTGGGTCTTGTACCTGTCTTGCCTCACTTGCTCTCCTCTTGACCTTACTTGTACTGTCACATATATATACCTGCTCTTGCTTGTCTAGCTCTATATGTATATGTGTGTACTCTTGCATGTGAACTGGCCTTGTGGCCTTGCTCTTGTGCTCGGACTGTGTGGTGACTTTGTGATCCACCCTGAGCTTTGCTTTGTTTTGCTTGACTGGTCATGTGACCCCTTGTTCTCCCCCACTTTGCCTATGGGGGTGTGTCAGAACATTATATAGCTTATGCTGTTGTGTAGGCTATAGTGGGGTATCCCATAGGGGGTACAACTAAACTAGGGTTTGCTATTTGTACTCACTTCACTCATAGTTCCACTCATTCCTGTTCTTCAGTTTCACACCGCGGCGTCCCGGGGGCCTGCGCGCCGCCCCCCTCCTGTTGCCCGTCGAAGCGCCCCGGGGGGCCGCGCGCCGCCTTGCTCGCCCGCCACGGCGCCCTGGGGGCATGCGCGACGCCCCCCCTCCCGTCGCCTGTCGCGGCGCCCTTGGGGTCTGCGCGCTGCCTTGCCCGTCGCCCATCGTAGTGCCCCAGGGACCCGCACGCTGCCCCAGCTGCTGCCCGCGTATCTGCCCCGCGCCGCACACGCGCCGCTTGCATTAGGGGTATGGGGGTGGCGGGTGTGTGAGCCGTCCCCTGCTCCTCCTCCTCCTCTGCCTCCCACTGCTGTAGCTGCCGCTGAGGGGGTTGGGTGTGTGGGAGCCGAGGTAGTGGCGCTAGGGGGGTGTCGTGGGAGTGGAGCTAGGGGTGCAGCAAGGGGTGTGTGAAAGGGGTGTGGGACACTTGGGGGAGGTTGAACGGAGGTAGCCGTCGTGACGTCAGCAGCGCCAGTAGTTCGGGGGTCACCCTTGTTCCGGTAGCCCAGCGAGCCTGCTTCGCCAGTCGCCCGTGGGTCTGTTGCTCCAGCCGCTCGTCTTAGCTGCAGAGCCAGTGACTCCAATAGTTCGGATACCCTTGCTTGTGTCCGGTAGCCCGTGCGCGCCGCTCCTGTTGCCCGTATGTCTGCTGCTTCACCTGTCGCCTCCTATCTCCACTACTCTCATAGTCCCTCCTCCTCCTCACTTGCCCTCTGTGACTGCCTCTAGTTGACCTTGTTCTTGTGAACTTTTTATGCGACTGCTTGATGTGCTGATCATACCCCACTTTGCCAATGGGGGTGTGTCAGAATGTGTTATTTGTCTAGTATGCAGTGGGGTACTCTATAATGAGTACAGCCCAACTAGGGTTTGCTATATGTATCCCATTGATTGCTAGTGAAAACCCTTCTTTTATGTTTCAACTTTATGCCTACTATTCTGACAGCAGCTGCGTACGGCCGCGTGAAGCCGCACACAGCTGCGCACAGCTGCGTACGACCGCACACAACTGCGCCGTTCCCCTGCCCCGCACCTGCTGCTCGTATGCCAGTGAAAGAGGGGGGGGGGGGGGGAGGAGGGGGGGAAGGTGTGGGGGTGACACAGCTCCTGCCACCGCTGTTGCCCTTCTTCTCCCTCTCTCTGCTGCGCGTGTAGCAGTAGGGGGGGAGGGTTTGGGGTGGCGAGTGTGAGCAACCTATTGCGGCCCCTCCTCCTCTCTCTCTCACTGCCGCACGTGCCGCTGTGGGGGGAAAGTGAGGGGGTGGCGAAAGGGGGTGTGGAATTGGGGGTTCGCAGGGGGGGTCCACTGCTTGGTTCCCCCCCCACCTCCTCTCCTCATCCGTCTCTCACCTCCACCTCTGTAAATTGGGGTTCGTAAGAGGGGCTCGCCGCAACTGGCTCCCCTGTGAGAATAAGCGAACAGGAATGAATGAACTAGCAGTGAAATGAGTACAAGTAGGAAACCCTAGAATTGTGTACCCCCTATAGGCTAACCCACTGTAGCCTACACAAGCAGAACATATATAATGTTTGACACACCCCCATAGGCAAAGTGGGGGAGAACAAGGGGTCACAAGACCAGTCAAGCAAAGCAAAGCAAGCTCAGGGTGGATCACAAAGTCACCACACAGTCCGAGCACAAGAGCAGGGCCAGAGGCCAGTTCACATGCAGGAGTACAGACATATATATAAAACTAGACAAGCAAGAGCAGGTATATATATATGTCATAGTACAAGTGAAGTCAAGAGGAGAGCAAGTGAGGCAAGACAGGCACAAGACCCAGCTGGGTGCAAAAGCGCTGATGGTCACAAGGCGCGAGTGCCTTGGTGAACACATCAGCAGTGTTGGCCTCAGAGGCCACGTACGCAAGTCGCAACTGACCACGCTGCTGCAGCTCACGAGCAAGGAAGTAGCGGAGAGCAATGTGCTTCGTTCTGTGCTCCAAGCGCTGCTCTCGACACAAGGCCAGCATGGCCTTGTTGTCTACGTACAGCATTGGAGGAGAACGAGGTGGCTCTCCAAGGTCAGTCAGCAGGTAGGTGAGCCAGCGAAGCTCCTGTGCAGCCATGGCCCCGGCGTAGATCTCAGCCTCACAACTGGAGCCGAGAACCGAAGACGAGCGAGTAGACCGCCACGAGACAGAGCCGGAACCAAGGCTGAAGGTGTAACCCTGTGACGACCGCTGCGTAGCCTGGTCGTCAGCCCAAGAAGCGTCCGCGTGGCCGGTAAGGACCACTGGACTCCGCCCTCCAAGCACTAGCCCCATGCCCGACGTACTGCACAGGTAGCGCAATACCCTCTTCGCTGCAGCCATGTGCTCTGGTCTGTGTCTCCCAGGAGCAACATAGCGTGCAAGAATGCTCAGAGGGTATGCAAGGTCAGGTCGTGTGCAGGTCATCAGGTACATGAGGCAGCCAACAAGCTCTGCATACGGACCACTCGACTCTACGGACTCATCCGAAGGCAGAGCTGAGAGTGAGTGGCGAGTAGGCAGAGGAGTGGCCTGAGGCGAGGAGTACGTGAAGCCAAAGCGCTGAAGGACCTGCTGCACCATGTGTGACTGAGTCAAGGTAATGGTGCGGCGTGCTCTGTCCCGAGTAATCTGCAAGCCAAGGTAGCTGCGCAGTTCACCCAGGTCTGTGCACGTGTGTCTCTTCAGCAGTTCGGACTTCACGTAGGCGAGTCCAGCAGTGTCCGCTGTGGCAAAGACCAAGTCGTCGACGTACACGAGGATGTAGAACGGCGGCAGTGAAGTGTCGGTGCGCAGAAACAGCGACGGGTCAGCAGTAGAAGGAGCAAACCCAAGAGCCGCAAGCGTAGTCCTCAGTGTGTCGTGCCACTCACGCGGTGCCTGGCGGAGACCGTAGACTGGCCGTCGGAGGCTCCACTGGGTGTCAGGAGGGAAAGTCCCAGTAAAGCCAGGTGGACGGCGCAGCCAGATCTCCTCGTGCAGGCTACCCTGCAGGAACGCAGTGCTGAAGTCGAGAGAGTGAAGCTCGTAGTCGCGCTGAGCGGCTATGTGCAGCAGCACCCGAAGAGTGGTCATCTTCGGGGTGGGAGAGAAGGTCTGAAAGTAGTCAACTCCCTGCCGCTGACTGAAGCCACGAGCAACGTACCGTGCCTTGAAGACAGGTGGAGAGCCCGGCGGCCGCTTCACCCTGAAGATCCACATGCCACTGACGATGTTCGCCCCAGGAGGGGGAACCGCGTCAACGTAGGTGCCTGTGGACTTCCAGGAAGCCATCTCTGCATCCATAGCTGCCTGCCACTGAGAGGAGTAGGGACCCCTCTACGGCCTCCGCGTAAGAACGCGGAGTCGGGATGTCTAGTGCATCCGGGTCTCCCTCAGGGGCAAGCAGTACAGACGCGAGATGAGGTGAAGCAGCCGCTAGACACTGTAACTCCTCCTGCCTGTCCTCTAGGACGTCCGTGCCAAGAGCACACTCACCCCCGACGGACGGAGGACAGACAGACGCAGACTCAGCAACAAGACTAGCAGCGTAGTCGAGACGACAGCGAGCAGCAAAGTCGACGAGCTCAGCGACTAGAGCAGACGCAGCAGTGGACTCAAAAGAGGGGTCAGTGACGACAGTAGCAAGCAGACGCGTGACAGTAGGACTGGCAGCGCGAAGAAAGTCCGACTCAGGGTCGGCAAGCGCAGGAAGAGAGGACTCAGGAGGAGAAGGCAAAGGGGCACGCAGAGGAGCAGTGGACGGACGCAGAGACATCCGGTGCGTGCCAGGGACAGGAGGAGGACGCTGACGCGAACCGCGACCACTAGCGCGAGCAGCACGAACCGGCGACGCGGGACGAGACGCAGGCTCACGACGCTCAGCAAGACCTCCAGTAGGACCAGTGTAAGGAGAGGGAGCAGGCAGAGGAGAGGAAGGCTCCAACAGTGACTGCGACTGGACAGGCTGTGGACACTCTACCGAAGGAGAAAGACCAAGAACCTGCTGTAGGAGCGGAACGAAGTACGGCCGAGGCCGCGCGGCAACTCCAGACTCAGCAGGGACAGCACCAGCACCCTCAGCGACAGCACCAGCGCCACCAACACCTCCAGCGGCAGGACCTGCAGCAGCACCAGCAGCAGAACCACCGCCAGGACAGACAGCAGTAGTCTCAGCACCAACACCCTCAGCAGCTCCAGCTCCAGTAGGACCCGCAGGCCCAGCAGCTCCGGGACCGGCAGCACCAGCACCCTCGACGGTCGACGAAGCTCCAGCTCCAGAAGCACTCCTCCAACGGCGAGCAAACCACTCGCGCAGCTCCTGTGGAGAGAGGGGCTCCCGGCGAGACGCAGCAGCAGGAGAAACCCCAGGCTAAGCAGCTCCAGACTCAGCACCCCCAGGCAGCAGCACCCCCAAGCTCAGCACCCGCAGGCGTAGCACCCCCAGACTCTGCACCCGCAGCAGGACCAGACTCAGCAGCAACCTCGACTGGCTCGACTGTGTCTACCTGGGACACACCTGAAGGGGCAGGAACCTGAGGGGGGAGGGGGTGTATCGGGGGGGGGAACTGGCACCAGGAAGTCCGGTGGGGGGGGGAGGGAAGGAGTACGGTAGGGGAAGAGGCGGTAGAAGGGGACTGACTCGTCGAACGTGACGTCCTGGGAGGACAGAACACGACGAGAGGAGGGGT